GGTCCGGCGGCACTGGCCGTCCCCACGGGGCACAGGGGAGCCCACGAACGCCCACTCTGCCATGTGTACGTGGGCACCACGGGGTCCTCGGTGAAGGGGCGCTGCTCCCGGCCCCGTGGGAGGACAGCAGTGGGCCGGCGCCACGCGAGGCCTCGTACTTCGCTGTGTCCCCGCGTGTGACCTCACCCCCACTTCACAGAGCAGGAAGCTGTGGCGGTTGGCGGGCTGGGCTCCTACCTGAGCAGGTCTGGCTCCGGCACCCACGCTCGCCCCACTTGCCCATGGCTGCTCGGATCATGACGCCCCCCCCGCCGTGAGGGGATCCCCAGGTGCCACACCCGGGCAAGCCGGCCACCTCAAAGGCCTGCTCCGGAGGGGGGCATCCCATCACGTGTGAGTCTCTGCTACTCCGTTCTAGTGGGAACCACCCTCCAGGTGGGAATATGCTGATCGATCTGGGGGCTCCCCAAGAACAGTCACTATGGGGCACAGCCTCTTGTGGGGCCCCTGAAACCTCCAGAGGAACAGGCACCTGTCTGAGAGATGCAGAGGTGGCAGGAGATCGGGGGGCGGGGGTTCCTGACGCTCCCAGGCCACCCGGCTACCGGAGCTTCCCCCTGAGAAAGAGGAGAGGGTCCCACAGGGGGCTCAGGGCCCAGATATACTGGTCTCAGCCATTCTCTAAGGGGCCAGGGAAATAGCACATGAGAAAGACCCCACTAGAAGGGGGACTTGTCTAATTTTCTGCTCATGTGGGAGTCTCTGGCTCCGCAACTCCTGCCTCAGCTCAGGCAGCTCGGACCCCCTCCCCCGCTACAGCAAACCCAAATACCACACAGCCCTAGAAAGGAACCCCAGAAAAAGGGGGGCTTCAGAGAGGGACACACCTGGCTTTGAGTCCTGGCTCCCACTCTTACTAGCCCAGTAACTTCTCTGTGAAGCGGGTTAACGGTAATGTCGCCTTTGGGGCTCTGACACGGGCGGGACTCTGAAGTAACTAGTGGGGTGCCTGCCCCGGAGGAGATGCCGGGAAGGGGCGGCTGATCCCACAGGCTCAGTGACAGGTGCACAGCACATCGGGGACCGCCTGCTTCCTGTTCCTCCACCCGCAGCTTGTGTGGGCCGAACGGCTGGGGGGGGGGAGATGCTCCTGGCTGCAGCTGCTGCCGGGAGGCCAGGTGGGGCCCCTTCCTTGAGGCTGCAGGTGAGAAGAATGAGTCTTCCCCCAAAAGAAGGGAAAACTCATCAGTAAAAGACGTGGGGCTGTGGGCACCTGGCTGGCTCAGTCAGTTAAACGACATGACTTCGGACATGATCCCACAGTCCGTGGGTTCGAGCCCCGAGTCAGGCTCTGTGCTGACAGCTCGGCGCCTGGAACTGCTTCTGATTCTGTCTCCCTCGCTCTCTGCCCCTCCCCTGCTCATGCTCTGTCTCTCTCTCAAAAATAAACACTGAAGGAAAAAAAAAAAAAAGACACGGGGCTGCGTGGCGGGAGGGCTGGCGTGGTCTCCAGACACGGCCCGGGATACAGGACACAGGACAGGGCCTCTGAAAAGCGCGATCCCGCCCGCAGAGGGAACACAATGGGCTGGCGGCCCCTCACTTCTCACTGCAGCAAAGACAAAGCCCAGGGGAGCTGGGATCAAAAAGGGGCCAAGCCCAACGTACACGATGGGGAAATGGGGAGATGGGGAAATGGGGAGATGGGGACACGGGGAGCCTCCCTTTGGGGCTGATGCGAGGCACCACGAAAGGCGACTTCTTTCCGGGGAGGCCTGGAGGCGGGGGCCCCTGAGCAGCACATCCCGGCATCCATGCGCACAGGTGCGCTCCCCACTCTGCAGGCAGCCCTGCACTGACGGGCTAGGGGACGTGGCCTTCTAGACCAGAGGCTCTCCCCTCGGACCCTGTGACCTGGGCCACACCGCTGGCTCCCCAGGCGAGTCCTGCTGCTCTAGGCCTCAGAACGTGTCGCAGGTGAAGCCTCCCGGCTGCCGCCCCGGCCACCGCAGGGGCTGCTGCCCCCGCCCCCCACCCCATGCAGAGCACCCGTGGCGTGGCGCTGCCCCCCGCGGAGAACCCCGGCTTGGGCGAGTCCTTAGCGGGGAGAGAGGCCTCCGTCGGGGCTCAGGAGGCCAGCACGGACCTTCCTCTTGCGCTGCAGCTCTGGGTGAGCGGCAGGCGCAGACACAGGTCACCCCCGACCCCACTTCCTACCCAGCAGCCTCTCCTTATTCCCCTTCATCGCTGGATTCTGTGCAAACACAACCTGACGCTTCCCGCACAAGTCAGTGGTTCCTGGGCGCGATCTGGGAAGAGCAGGTGCAAACACACATGAGGGTCTGGAAGGGTCTGCTGCTTTAAGAGCCGCACAGAGGTCTGGGGAGACCGGGTGTGAGGACAGCGCTGGGGAAGGCCAGGGGACAGGGCTCCGGGGCGGGCTGGGCCTCATGGGGACCAGGGGACCGGGCGGTGCCTGCCCTGTCCTGGTAGCGGCACCGACGCGAGGGGCTCCAGCAACACTGGGGGAGGGAAAGGTGCGAGGACACAGTGCCGTCCTCTGCGCTAACTCACCCAGGTGCCGGTGGACGCCCAGGACGCGGCGGCGGTGCTGGCCGTGTGGGGCTGGACCCCCGGGGCCTCGGGCACCGGCAGTGCGTGGGGACGTGTCACCAAGAACACTCCCACGGCGCAGACGCCCCTCAGTTCCGATCAGAAAGAACGGTCTCCACATGAGCACCGGCACACCTGCTCCAGCAGCTCGACCCGAACCGGCGCCAGAGGTGGAAACCACCAAGCGCCCGGCAGCTGGTGCACAAATGTGACGTGTCCCCCCCCCACAGCACGTCCCTCGGCCGCGAGCAGGAGCACGGCGTCCACATCCACCGCCTCGCAGACGGACCCTGAACACACGATGCTCAGGGAGGGAGCCAGACACGAGAGGCCACGCGTGTGTGAGTCCACGTGTCCCATCCTGACACAAAGTGGGGTGGTGGGCGCAGGGGCTGGACAGGGCATGGGTCGCATAGCTGATGGGAAGAGGGTTTGTTTGGAGCGATGAGAATGTTCTGGAACCCACCTGCTGATGGATACACAGCCGAGAACCACTAAACTACATCAGAAACTCACGTGGAGACGGAACTGGAAGCGAATAGATGGATTACCAACAAAGGTTAAGCAAATAAACAAAAAGGAGGCTGCTCCCTGAAGGGCCGGCGTAGGAAGCAGGGGACAGTGGGGTCACTCCTCTATTGGGGCGGGTGCATTTACTGGGCACAGCGCTTGAGGGCCACATGGCACAAAGCCCCCGCCTCGGTATCAAGTGAGGGGAAAGAGGTCACCTGCCAAGGACACAGGATGCACAGCTGTTGGGGACACAAATGTCCCCATCCAGAAGGTCAATGCCACAAGAGAAGGAGCTTGGCCTCTGAAGGAGGGGCCGTCAGACGCGCCCGCTCCAAACCACCCACTGTCCGCGGCAGCTCTGCCAGCACCAAACCCCGGGCAGAGGCAGCAAGAGATGGCCCACAGGTGACGGCGGGCTTGACAAGGCAGAGGCCACCGCAGCCAGTGGCGGGTCGGAACCTGGAGGGCAGGAAGCTGCCGGGCTGAAGGAGGGCCACCAAGTAGTCCCTCCTGGCTCTGCAGGGCACGGGGCCCCTGGGCAGCTCCCCCCGCCCCCCCCAACCCCCAGCACCACTCAAGCCCGCGGTGCTATCAGTGGGGGGAGAGCTCCTGCTTAGACGGCCAGCTTCTGAAGACTCAGCACTTCTCCCCTAGCCCCAAACAGCCACCACCGGCTGGGGTACAGAGGCAGAGGTGTGCCCGGGGGGGGACAGTCACGGGGGCAAAACGGGCACAGCTAACTCCCCGGGCGCAGCCCACCACCCAACGAGCTGGCTGTCCCGTGAACCACGAGGTGTCCCAAGACCAGAGGGGGAGGGCCCACGTCCTCACCAGCCCCACCGAACCTCAGCGCCCCCGCTGCACTCTGAGGCTCAGCAGGCACGCAGGCCGTGGCTGCCCACACGGAAGGCGCCCCCGGCACCAGGGGCCAAGGCGACCCACCAGAGCTCTGCACCATGAATAGGCCAGGGTGCGACCTAGGGGCCAACGCACCACTCCGGGGACTGTCCCCAGAGGATCTCATCCGCTCCCAGGGTGCAAATGCCCCGCCCCCTCCAGGAGGGACCACCCAACCCCCTTCATGTCCAGCGCCCTTTCACGTGTCCCCAATTCGGGGTAAGAGGCAGGCGCAGCTGTGAATGCGGTGATGGACGGTCTCTCGTTGGGTAAATCACCCTCATTCCAGGCACAGTAAGAAACTGAGGGAGGGGAAGGGGGCGCAGCCTCACCAGCAGGAGGCGTGAGGCCGTCACTCTGTGGACAGGGTGAAGGGTAGGAGGGGGACTAGTTCGCAGCCCGACAGGCGCCTGAAAGAGGGGAGGATTCCCCGGGGACAGAACGGGGCGGGTCTGGGCTGCACAGCCACCCAGCGGAGGGTCTCAGGCTTGGGCTGGGGGGGGGGGAGGGAGCTGGACGCTGCGGGACCAGTGGGCGGGGGTGGGGGGGTCGGCAATTTGGGGCAGGGGAAAACGGCCCTGATGGGGGCAAACATTCCACACTCGGGGCCCCCGGGGGGCGGGACGCAGCTGGGCAGACACAGGTCGGCTCGAGTTGTGGTGGGTCGGGGCCCGGACCGAGAGCCGGCGTCTGGGAGGGCTGGGGGCACCGGGGCACTTCCGCCTGAGAGCGTCCGTGGGCCCGAACCGAGGGGCAAGGGGCGCCCAGCACGACGGGGTCCCCACACCTCCGTCTACTGGTTTCAGGGTCCGCACGGCTCGGCGTGTATTTTCCCAGGGTGGGGGGAGGGGCCCGGTTGGAGCCGGGGTGGGTCGTGACAGCTACGGGGGTCAGCTGAGACCTGGGCAGGGAGTGGGCTGGGCTGGTCCCCGTTTGCAGGAAGCGGCTCTGACAGCCCAGAGACGGTCAATGGCTACTTTCGGGGACGAACCTCCGCTTTGAGGGGACAGAGCTCGACCCCCTGTTTTACAAGCGGACCCCGGACGCCGACTGCGGGGGGACAGGTCTCGGGTCGCAGGTGGCTCAGTCTGGGGCGGTCACGCAGGGCGGATCTGGGGGGTGAAGACGGGAGAGAGATGCTGAGGTCACCGCGGGCCTAGCTGGGCACGGGGGGCGGCGTTCAGGGGGTCTGGGCGACTCCTGGAGGGGGCCCGGAGCGCGGGGGCCGCAGCCCCGGCCGCCGGCGCGGTGCCGGGGGACCCGGGGTAGGCCCGCGCCGCCGCCGGGCCCCGCCCGGCTCGGGGGGTCTCGGCTCGGGCCCAGGGGGCGGGTCCCCAGACCCCGGCCGCCTCACCTGGCTCGCTCCGGTCGCCCGTTGGCTCCGCCGACCCCGCCTCTCCTGGCGCCGTGCCGCGCCGGGCTCTGCCGCCCGCAGCTCCACTGGTCCGGCCGCGGCCGCCGCCGACGGGACCCCGGGCTCCGCGCTCTTCTTAATATGGCGGCGGTCGCTGTTCCGCGGCCTCCCGGAGCCCTCCTCCGCCGCGCGCGCTCCCGTGGCCGGCCACGCCCCCGCGCCGGCGCGCTGCGTGCCGCCGCCACGCCCCGCCACGCCCCCGCGCGCCCGGGCCTCGCGCCTGGGACGCGCCACGCCCCTCCTACCCCGCGCGGCTGCGCCTGCGCGCGTCGGGCATCTCGGGAGGACGTGACGTAGCCCGTGATTCGAATCAATACAGGAAGCGGGGAGCCGCGCGTTGCCACGGGCGACCGGAGCCGCCAGGGGCGCCCGCGACCCCGCGGAGCCGGTGGCGACGGAACCGGGGGAAGGGCTCTGCCTCGATTAGGACGTGGCTCTTGGTAGGGGACGGTCGCAGGCGCGGGCACGCGAGGGCCGACCCGCACCGCGTGAAGCAGTCACCCTGCGTGGTAAGTGCAGGTAGGACGCGACACCCCCTGCCTGCGGGAAGACGTCCATTCAGTGGCCAACATTTATTGCGCTCCGACAGTGCTCTCGGGTCAGAAAAATCTGTGCCCCAACACGGGCAAAGGGGCAGGCGGACATTCGACAAAGAAAACAGGTGAATGGCCAGCAGGCTCATGAAAGACAAAATGTGGTGTATCTACATCATGACGTGTTGTTGGCCGTGAAAAGGAGTGAGGCGCCGGTGCTCCCCGGCGGTAGCGCGATGATCGGTGACAGCAGCTGGACATAAAGGCCATTGTACTGTATCGTCGTATTCCGTTTGCATGAAGTGCCCACAATGTCCAGGCAAATCCACAGGGACAGAAAGGAAATTGGTGGTTGCCGGGAGATGGGGGCAAGGAAGGCATAGGAATTTTCTTGCTGGGGTGATGGAATGTTCTAAAATTGATGTGATTGATGGTCGCACGACTCTGAATATACTGAAATTCAATGAATGATACACAAATTTTATAGTATGTGAGTTGTATCTCAATAAAGCTGTTATATACATTAAAAAAAAAAAAAAAAGACGTGTCTGCCAGCACATCTGGGTGGCTAACTTGGTTAAGCATCTGACTCGGTTTCGGCTCAGGTCGTGAGATTGAGCCCCGCTTTGGGCTCTGCCTTGATAGGGTGGAACCTGCTTGGGGTCCCCTCTCTCCCTCTCTTTCTGCCCCTCCCCTGCTTACTCACACGCTCTCATAAATAAATAAGCTTAAAAAAAAGGAAAGACTCAGTACTCATCAAATTCATTTATAATTTTTTTAAAAAATCCTGTCTGCCTGAGCTGAAGTATGGAGAATAACAAAAGAAGGAAAGGGGGATGAAAGATTATAGTCTCCAACCCAGTGATCAGGGACATTTGGGCAAAGATTTGGGGGCGGGGGACATACCATGGTACAGGATTTCTATTCATTTGGTATGAAATTATACATGTCATACAATAACTGATTTCAGTGAATTCTGCAAACACCATAGGTTCTAGAGCAGCGTCATCTGATAGAAACATAACATGAGCCACATATGTAATTTTAAATTATCTAGTAGCCACATGAAAGAAATACAAAGAGGGGCACCTGGGTGGCTCGGTCGGGTAAGCATCCGACTCTTGATCTCAGGTCTCGATCTGAAGGTCGTGAGTTCAAGCCCCGCGTTGGGCTCTGCGCCGGGCATGAAGCCTACTTAAATAAGTTAAAATCAAAAGACAAAAGAAACCAGTGTAGTTAATTTTAATGTATTTTATTAATTCATATGTTAAAAATATTTACATTTCAACACTTAATCAAAATCAACAATTATCAATGAGATATTTTATATTTTTTTTTCTCGTATTCCTTTTCTCATCTTAAAATCCAGCGCCGATCTCAGTTTGGGTGCTAAGTTTCACTGGAAATACTTGGTCTCCATATTTTATAAAGTTGACCATGGGAAAAGCAGACTCACAGGCCCCAGGGAGTCCAAGCATGCTTAAAACCTTTCCAAGAACCTAATCAAATGTCAGATTTTTCCATTTCCATTTAAATTACTTAAATTTTAAAGTTAAAAATTCAGTTCCGGGGGCACCTGGGTGGCTGAGTTGGTTAAACGTCTGACTCTCGGTCTTCGCTCAGATCATGATGATTTGTGGGTTTGAGTCCCAAGTTGGGCTCTGTGCTGACAGCGTGGAGCCTGCCTGGCCTTCTCTCTGTCCCTCTCTCTGCCCCTCCCTCACTCTCTCTCAAAATAAATTAAAAAATCAGTTCTGTAGTTGCACTGGCTACAAATCAAATGTCGCATCGCCCCCAGCCCCCTCTGGCTAGTAACTATCTTATTGAATGATGCAGACATAGAATACGTCTATCATAGAAAGTTCTACTGGACAAAGAAGGTCCAGAGCAGCACCTGGAGCAGAGTAGATCAGTAAATGTCAAACAAAGAACCTTCTTTTTAAAAAAAAAAAAAAAATTTTAAATGTTTGTTTAGTTTTGAGAGAGAGAGGCAGAGCGCAAGCAGGGGAGGGGCAGAGAGAGAGGGAGACACAGAATCAGAAGCAGCTCCAGGCTCTGAGCTGTCAGCACAGAGCCTGACACGGGGTTCGAACTCACGAACTGTGAGATCATGACCTGAGCCAAAGTCAGACACTTAACTGACTGAGCCACTCAGCATCCATGGCCTGTGCAAAGCTGAATCCCGTCTTCATTTAAAAGGAGGATTTTTGGGGGGTGCCTGGGTGGCTTAGTCGGTTAAGCGTCCGACTTTCGCTTAGGTCATGATCTCGCGGTTTGTGGGTTCGAGCCCCGCGTCGGGCTCTGTGCTCACAGCTCAGAGCCTGGAGCTGCTTTGGATTCTGTCTCTCTCTCTCCCCCTCCCCTGGTCCCTCTCTCTTGCTCTCAAAAATAAACATTAAAAAAAAGTTTTGATTTTTTTTTTTTAAATTCTTTTTTCTTTTTTTATTTATTTCTGAGAGAGAGAGACAGTGTGAGCAGGGGAGGGTCAGAGAGAGAGGGAGACACAGACTCTGAAATAGGCTCCAGGCTCTGAGCTGGCAGTCAGCACAGAGCCCGACGCGGGGCTCGAACCCATGAACCGCGAGATCGTGACCTAAGCGAAAGTCGGACGCTCAACCGACTAAGCCACCCAGGCGCCCCTTTTTTTTTTTTTTAATAGTAGGCTTCATGCCCTGCGCTGAGCCTGACACGGGGCCTGAACTCACCACCGTGAGATCAAGACCTGAGTGGAGATCAACAGTTGGACGCTTAACCAACTGCGCCACCCACATGCCCCAGAAGTTTGGATTTTTTTTTTGCATTACTTTTGATTTTTAAAAACAAGTCATTAGTGAGGGAGGAACATGGGTGCTTCTAGAAGGATCGTTCGGGAGTGTCGTTCCTTGCAGCTGTTGTAACAAGTCACCCCAAACTGAGTAGCTGAGCAGATCATAAACGTATTATTTCACCATTCTGGAGGCCAGAAACTTTTTTGTTGTTGCTGTTAAAAAATGTTTGTTTATTTTGAGAGAGAGCGCAAATAGAGGAGGGGCGGGGGGCGGGGGGGAGGACAGAGGATCCAAAGTGGACTCTGCACCATCAGCAGTGAGCCCGATGTGGGGTTTGGACCCATGAACCACAAGATCATGACCTGAGCCAAAGACAGCTGCTCAACCGACTGAGTCACCCAGGTGCCCCTGGAGGTCAGAAATCCAACATGAGTTTCTCCAGGCTGACACCCAGGCCTCGGCAGGGCTGGTTCCCCCTCTGGGCTCCAGGGACATGTGTCTCCCCCCTCTCCATTTCCAGTGGCTCATCCCTGGCCCGCAGCCCCTCCTCCAGCCTCACGGCCAGGCCTGGGCAGGGCCGGTTCCCCCTCTGGGCCCCAGGGACATGTGTCTCCCCCCTTCTCCATTTCCAGTGGCTCATCCCTGGCCCGCAGCCCCTCCTCCAGCCTCACGGCCAGCAGCGGGGGATCCGCCCATCTCTCTGCCACTACACTTGATGTCCACACTGTTCTGGGCCACGGCTGTCACAGCTTACACGGAGGCAAGACTGTGACTGTACAATGATCTCAATATACATGCTGGTTTTTTTAACATCTATTTCTTTTTTGGGAGAGAGAAAGAGAGTGGAAGTATATGCGGTAACTGGGGGAGTGACGGAGAGATAGAGAAAGAGAGAGACCGAAAGAGAGAGAGAAAGAGAGAGAGAGGATGCCAAGCTGTCAACACAGAGCTCAAACCTGTACTACAAACTGTGAGATCCTGACCTGAGCCGAAGTTTGATGCTTTACCGACTGAGCCACCCAGGTGCTCCTACGTGTTGATTTTTAAAAAGAAGAAAAAAATGCATTAAAATATTATGATTTATTTACAGAGTTTTTGGTCACCCCCTTCAAATTTGTGCTCCCCTGCTGCACGGCTGAACAAACCATTTCTCTCTGTGCAGAGTTATCATTTAATTCCTACTTAATTCTTTTTTAATTAAAAATTATTTTTAATTTTAGAGAGAAAGAGAGTGCAAGCGGGGTCAAGGGAGAGGGAGAGAATCTTGGGCAGGCTCCCTACACTCAGTGTGAAGCCCAATGCGGGGCTTGATCCTGTGACCCTGGGCTCATGCATGACCTGAGCCGAAATCAAGAGTCAGACACTCGGGGCGCCTGGGTGGCTCAGTCAGTTAAGCGTCCAACTTCGGCTCACGTCATGATCTCGCAGTTTGTGAGTTTGAGCCCCGTGTCGGGCTCTGTGCTGAAAGCTCGGAGCCTGGAGCCTGCTTCAGATTCTGTGTCTCCCTCTCTCTCAAAATAAATAAACATTAAAAAAAAAAAAAAGTCAGACACTTGACCATCTGAGCTATCCAGGGGCCCCCAATTTTTTTTTAAACCAGAGGCTCCTATCTTTGCAAACCAGAAGTCCAGAGGGGTGAGAGCGCCTGGTAAACATCCTATAAATCCTTCCCGACCTCTGTCCTGGGCCCTGAAAGAGACGAGGAGGTGCAGGAGCCCAGCGGAGTTCTCTCACGGAGCCTGGGTTGGGGCAGGGACCAGACACCGGAGTGTCAGTACCGTGGGGCTGTGTCCCCCGCCAAACACGTTCAGTCCTGACCCGCAGCAGCTGGGAATGGAACCGGTCTCTGCAGATGACGTCATCAAGCTCGGATGAGGTTATGGGGGGAGGGCTCATCTGGCGAGCGTGTGCTTCTGGGAAGAGGGAGGTTTGCACACAGACACGGGGAAGAGGGGAGGGGGGCGCGAGGACAAGGCAGAGACTGGAGAGATGCGCCCACGGGCCAAGGAAGGTCAAGGATAACCTGGCAACCAAAGAAGTTGGAGGAGGCGGCGGTGCGGGGGGGGGGGGGGGAATCCTCCCCTGGGGACCAGATGTGTCTCTCACTATCAGTTTGTCACACGTCTGGAGGCTCGAGATTTCAAGTTCTCTGTCGCTTCCAGGTCTTGCTTTGGGGCGTGGCTTCCGCTATCTGCTTCCTGCAGCCCGAGCCCATCTCCTTCCCCCAGGACATCCCTGGGGTGAATCACACCACGACTCTGCTTCGGAGCCTTCCAGAGTCAACACAGCACAGCACGAGGCCCGCGGGGAGGCCCTGCGTGAACAGCAGCCTGAGTCACAGAACTCTCCAAAGGCAACCTGGAGTCGGCTTTGAACACGTAGGAAGATGATAAAAAGTAACGACAGGACGTCAGCTCCATGAGGCCAGAGAGCTGCGATCTACGCCCCGAGTGCCTGCCGCGCACAGATGCTCAATGAGTATTTGTGACGTGCATACCTGGACGTGTAAACCCGTGTTTGGCCTGTGAAAGTGACTTCTTTGCCATGCACGGCACTTGGATGTTTCCAATTAACTGTCCACATTTCTCCCACAGGAGATTTTTAAAATAGTTTGCTTACTTATTTTTTGGGGGGTGGCAGAGAATCCCAAGCAGGCTCTGCACCAACATGAACCTTGAGACCGTGGCTTGGGCGGAAACCAAGAACTGGGTGCTCACCAACTGAGCCACGCAGGCGCCCCCGGAATGAGAGGTTCTGTGGCAAACGAGTTGTTGTCTGGCTGCCCTTAAAAACAGGAACATCTAGGGGTGCCTGGGGGGGGGTCAGTCAGTTAAGCATCTGACTGGGGTTCAGGTCATGATCTCATGATTTGTGTGTTCAAGCCCCACATTGGGCTCTGTGCTGACAGCTCAGAGCCTGGAGCCTGCTTCCCTCTCTGCCCCTCCCCCACTCAGTCTCTCTTTCCTTCAAAAATAAATTGAAAAAAACAACAACCCAGGAACATCTGGCCACACAGGTCGAGTGGCTGGAGAGGGGTGCAGGCCAAGCCGCCGTCATGCCTGCCCTGGGGAAGCAAGAGGAAGCCAGGAACCCAATCTGAGTGGCAGGCGACTTCTGTCCCCGGGGAAAGCACTGCTCCCTTCAAAGGGGCCATGGCCACCGTGTCTAGCAGACGTCAAAGTACACGTTATGGTAGGAAGTCTCAAGGAGCACAGGGAATTCAAGTGCTCTGGGGAAATGCTGGCTATTTTTCAGAGAGGTTGCCCACGCATAATGTACGTCTATAATCCCTCGTATGCAAATCGGGTCTGCTTATTCTGCGCTCCGCCTGCCTTGCTCTTTGGAGGCAGATCTTCCCGACTTTTCGAAGGTCCGCCTGTTCACGTGGAAACGCACCCCTATTTAACCAGCGTCCCCGCCGATGGGTGTTCCTCAAATCAGGCACAGCAGTGGTGCGAGGGGTCCGCTCAGCAATGTGCTGCAGCCTGCGTGCGTGGCCACAAAAGTCACGATCAGGCCACAAAAGTGGACAGTGGTGGGTGTAGGAACGCAGCACACTACAAATGAGGGCTTTATTTACATGTTCCAATCGCTGCTTACGCACCACACACACGGCCACAGACGGAACGCAGACAAAATCCCTGCTCTCACCGTGCTCATGCGAGTGGAGAAAACAGGCAATAAACAAAATAATTAGGGAAAGTGCACAGGTAGATAGAGGTGCTGTGGAGAAAAATAAAGCAGGGAATACGATAAAGGGACATCAGGAGTGAGGTTACGATGTCAATGCAGGTGCTCAGGCAGGCTTCAGGGAGGAGGGGACATTTGAGCAAAGGAGCAAACAGTGAGGGAGTGAACAGATATCTAGAGGAGAAAAGGTTCCAGGTAGAGTATATAGCAAATACAAAGGTCCTGGGGCAGCACTGGGCTCATGTGATGGGGGAACAGGGAGGCGGCCTGTGTAGCTGGAGCAAAGTGGGCGAGGGGGAGAGACGGAAGGGACCGGTTGTACAGGGCCTTGGGGACCGAAGAATGGACTTAGACTTCTCCTCCAGGGAGGTGCGAGCCCTGGGGGGCTGTGGGCAGAGGACCAGACCTGATTTGGGTGCTCACAGGCGCCCTCTGGTGGCCGCTGCAGGGAGGACAGGCCATAGGAAGCAAGGTGGGGGCAGGGGAAGGGGCCAGAGGGGACTGTGCAGTCCAGGTGGGTGATGGCGGTGGCTGGGGGCACAGGGGTCGGGGGACGTGGGTAGATCTGGGCTGGATTTTCAACCCCAATGTTTTCAGGCCGAGCACCGGGGATGACCGGCAAATTTCCACCTCCTATGGGAGGAGCGGCTTCAGCAGGCAATGTGAGGAATTCTAACGTCCCAGCAAAGTTTGGGACATCTCACCTGTATCTAAGTGCAGACATGGAGGGGCGGCGGGACCCCAAGTCTGGAGCTCGAGGGAGGCCCGGGCTACAAATAGGACTGTGGGGGTGGTCGGGCCACAGACAGAGTTCCAGTCCAGAGAGTGGATGAGGTGCCCGGGAGGGGAGCGAGTAGGGAGAGAAGTGGCCGGAGGCCCCCAGCCTGCGCACCGGGGGAGGGGTGGGAGACAGAGGGGACTGGAGAGATGGGAGGGAAGCCGGGTCCCAGAGGCGCTTCCAGGAGGAGGGGGGACGGGCCAGTTAGACACTGGGCGAGGGGGAGGAATGGAGACCCCGTGACTGCCGGATCTGGACACTGGGGGTCACCTGCAGGCAAGGACAGGCCTGGGGACAGGAAGGGCAGCGCCTGGCTGGCGCAGAAACGAGAAAGACGCCGGGAACTGCTCAGGGTTTGGCTGTTCTGGGGCCTTTGCCCAGAACAGAGAGAGCAGGAAGCAGGCGAGAGGCAGAACATGGGGATGACCTGGGCTCAGAAGGCTGTGAGCTGTGTCTTCCCTTGTTTTCAAGAAAGTCTAGCCTGGGGGCACCTGGGCGGCTCAGTCCGATCAATGTCTGACCCTTGGTTTGGGCTCAGGTCATGATTTCATGCTTTGTGGGTTCGAGCCCCATGAGGGGCTCTGCTCTGCCAGTGGGGAGCCTGCTTGGGATTCTCTGTCTCCCTCTCCCCTGCTCATGGTCTGGCTCTGGCTCTCTCTCAAAATAAACTTAAAAACGTTAGGAAAAAAAAAAAAAAGAAGTTCCAGCTTGTCTTAGCCGAGAGGAGGTAAATCCGATGACGACCATGGCTGCGAGCCAGGGGACAAGGGCCTGCAGAATTGAGATAATGGGGAATGTGGGCCCCGGGTCCCAGCCCCTTCTGAAAGCCTGTACCCTCCCGAGAGGTGAGGGCCGGAGGAGCGCCTTGCCAGTGCACTTGGGCACAGTGACAGGCCGGGAGCTGGGGGCTCCCTGTGGCTTCAGGACGGGCAGGGCTGGAGGGAGGAGGAACTCTCAGCCACAGCCACACCCTTGACCCTGGGGGGAGAGATAACCACCAATGGCCACTGATTTAGTAGACCACGCGGGCACTGTGGACTCCACAAAGTCCCCAGACCAAGGGGCTCCAGGCTGGTGGCTGCACCCCCATCCCCTGGGGGGCCGCACCCCAACCTCCCCAGGGAAGCAGCTGCCAGGCACCCTTTATGATGAACGGGCGGGAAAAGCGCCTTCCTGGGCTCGGTGGCCTCGCTAGTAGATCACCCTGTGTGCGGAGGGGGCGGCGGGAGCCCTGAACCGGGACCGAGGGGTCTGCATCAGAGCGGAACTGCAGAAGCCGCGCGCCTGGTGGCGGAGCGCTGAGGCATTGGTGGTAAAACTGGGTGGCAGCTGCGGTGCCCCAGGACGCCCGCCTCCCCAGGGCCTGTGTCAGGGCTGCGGCTGACAAGGGTCGGGTCAGCGGCGGGAAGGTGGAAGTGTCCCACCGGAGCTGTTAGGCTCCGCCCTCACAGCCGTCCAAGCCGCACACGGAGAGTGGGGGGGGGGCGGGGGCGTGAGGAGAACACCCTCAAGCCCCTTCCCCTCTGCCCCCAGCAGGGGTGGGTGACATGAGGGTGGGGGAGGGCCAGGCTGCAGGGCCCGCTGGGCTGTTACCCCAAGGGACGAGATGACCCCGGGCACCTGGGGAGGGTGGACCTCAGAGCTGAGCTCTTCAAACACCCGGCCCCCCTCCTCCCCGTTACAGGTTCTGACCGCAGCCCTGCAGACCCCCCCGGCGCACCCAGAGAGTCACGGCTCAGCAAAAATAATTTAATAGTCCATTTGGACCCTGGGGTGGGCTCCTCTCTCCCCTCCCTACCTAGTCCCAGACTGGGGAGTCAGAGGCCTCTGCCCAGGCCCAAGCGGGTTGGGTTTGCCCACGGCAGCTTTCCCGGCACCCCTGGTTTCTGACCGAGGCCCCTCAGTGGGGACACAGGAGCCTCAGACTGGCCCCAGGGGGGTCAAGATGCAAAAGCAGGCGGATCTAGCGGAGCAGAGCCCCAGGGGGACGGGAGGCCAGGCCGCGGGGCCCCGGGGCCCCGCAGGGGAGGGGCGGCGGCTCTAGGCGGGGGCCGTGCGCAGCTGCTCCAGCCCGTCCGCGTACTGGAAGGCCGGCCCCGTCTCGTAGTCGTACATGTCCAGGGCCACCTCGCAGCTCTCGCGCACCACGCGCTCGGGGTCGGCCGCGTGCGCCCGCAGGGCGGCCAGGCAGGCGGGCCGGGCGATGGCGCCCAGGGCCTCGGCGCACTCGTGCCGCACCATGGGGCTCTCGGCCGGCTGGGCCAGGGTCGCCGCCAGCTGGGGCACGGCCGCCTCGTGCTGCAGCTGGCCCAGGACGTAGCCGATCTCGTGCCGGAAGAGGGCGCTGCCACAGCGCAGGCCTGTGGGCGGGGCGGGAGGGCGTGGTCACGGGCTGGGCGGGGCCATCGGGGGGGGTGTGTGTCTCGGGGCGGGGGGTGTGTGTCTCGGGGCGGGGGGGGGAGGCGGGGGGTGTCTCGGGGGGGGGAGGCGGGGGGTGTCTCGGGGCGGGGGGGGTGTGTCTCGGGGCGGGGCACCGCAGAAAGGACGAGAGGTAGACAGGAGAGAGGTGGAAAGGGGGTTCCCGTCTCGAGGTGGTTGGCGCTGCCCAGAGGGAGGGCCCTGGGGCCACAGGGGCAGCCAGAGGGCACGGCCTGGGAACACAGCCCTTCCCTCCGGAAGGAAGACGCGCCGGCGTGGGCTTCCCGGGCCGGGGTCCCTGCCCGCTCGCTCCCACATCTCCTCGGGCCCCTGGATCATGTGCTTGACCGCACCGTCAAGTGCTACCCGCGGGCGTGTGCACACGTCCCCACACGCTACAACGTTTGATAAGGGCACAGTCACGGGCACCCTGCCACCACCCTATAGACTGGTCATGCTTCACACTGACGGGGAAACCACAGCTGGGAGTCGGGTGGTGACTGCCCTAGGGCACCTCCTGACTGCGCCCCCCCCCTTCCCAAGCAGCACCAGCCCCTCTGGGCCCCCTCCCTGCCTGGCTGGGACTCCCAGCCCTGATGCAGCGTCACAGCGATGACCAGGCGGCTCCTTGCCGGACAGGAAATTCTGGGAGGGCAGCGAGGGCTCTACATGCTCTGTGGGCACGCCCTGGGCATCGGGGGCGCGGGGCCAGGGGCTGTCCCGGGCGGTGGCCTGTAGAGAGGGGCCTGCAGAGCCGGGACGGGAGAGAGAAAAGGGTCCGGGCGCGGCAGCCGCACCGCCACGGATCAGACCCCGACTCCGCGGCCCGCCAGCTGCCGTCTCCTGGGGCAACCATCTCGGCCTTCTGCCCGGCTCCTCCCGCAGAGAATGGGGGGCGGGAGGGGGGATGTCAGGGGCCCGCGCACCACGGAGGACGAGTCAATGCCTGGAGAGCCGTCGCGTAGGGAGGCGCTGGGGCCAGGCCCAGGAGGCACGTGCCCTGCTCCGTGTCCCAGGGGCAGCTACTGAGCCCCAGGGAGGGGCGCCGACCATGACCCCCACGCCGCCCGGGCCCCGACTCACCCTCTGCCAGCGCCAGGGCGGCCTCCTCGCCGCCGGCGTTGCGCAGGGCGAACATGGCGCGGTAGCGCTCAAAGAGCGGCTGGGCCTCGTCCAGCAGCACGTCGCGCAGCCGCCCCACGTCGCGCTCCTCAGCTGGAGGCGCCGGGTCCACCGACAGGTAGGGCCCTGCCCCCACGGGCTCCCCGCTGTGCCGCTGCAGCCACTCCAACCGCTTGACGGCCAGCTGGCACGTCTCAGCCACCTGCGGGGACAGGGGTGCACAGGCGGCCACTGAGAACACGACAGTGGACGCGATGGCCCCCCTTCCCCAACCTCAGGGGCTCCAGATTTAATAGAGGCCGGAGGCAACAGATGCAGGAGTTAGCTGATCATTCTAGATTGGAGAAAGACCAGCCTGGGCTTGTGATCAGGGAGTGAGGAAGACAGAGGACCAGGAGAGACGCGGTAAGGAGGTGACATCGGAGTGCAGCAGAGGCCAGAACCAAGGAAGAGTGAAGTGGGTGGAAATGGCCAGTGCAAAGGCGCTGAGGCAGGACCCTGTGGGACACATCAGGGAGGATCAAGCAGGCTGAGTGGGCAGAGATGGGACCCCAGGTGGCCAGGCCGCACTAGTCGGCCCGTGAATGGCAGGAGCTTGGGATTCTGTCCTAAAAGCCATTGGAAACACATGTGCTCCGGGACGGAAGTCGGGGAAGCAGATGACAAGAGCAGCAAGTGGGAAACACACAAAACCAAACAGAAACCTACACACGCGTGTTCGCGGCAACACGACTCATGTGGGCAAAAACTTAAAACGGCCCAAACGTCCATCAGCAGATGAACAAAATGTGGCCCACCGCGCACGCGCACGCCCCTGAGGTGCGTCCACCGCGCACGCGCACGCCCCTCGGCCGCGAACACTAGCGAGGCGCCCACACCCGCCGGCCGCAGACGGACCCCGAACACACGACGCTCAGGGAGGGAACCAGACACGGGAGGCTACGCGGGGTGTGAGTCCACGTGCCTGACGCGTCCAGAACAGGCTCCTCCACGGACACAGGAAGTAGATTACAGATTGCCAAGGGTTGCTGGGCAGGGGAGTGACTACTGATGGGGCGGGGCTCCTTTTGGGGTGAAGGAATGTTCCAGAAAGAGATGATGGTGGCACACCTCCATGGATGTTCAAAAAACCGCTTTAGTGCACAGTGTCAGAGGGTGAAATTTATGGAGTGTGTCACATCTCAATAAAGTTGTTCCCTGAAGAAGAAAGAGCGGCAGGCTGGGGGACGCTGGGGCCCACAGAAGCGGGTGGGCTCGGAGGGGTCCTGGCCGAGGGACTGGGGGGAGGGGGAGCGGGTCAGGGTGGGTTTTGTGCGGGGAGTCAGGAGCCTGCAGCCAGCCTGCGGTCGCCCTCAGGTCCTGTCCTGGCCAAGCGGTCGCCCTGGCAACCAGACAGTAGGCTGGTCTGGGGCGGGGGAGGCGGAGGGGTCGTTACCTCGATGACAGGGTCGGCGGAGTACTGCTTCAGGACCTCTAGGACTTCCGGGTTCCCGATGGCCCCCAGGGCCTCCCCTGAGAAGAACCAGGGGACAGTTCACGGTTAGGAAAGTAGGAAAGGCCCCGGATGCTGGGGGTGGGGGGGCACCGACCAGCAACACTACCTCCTCTGTGCTCTCCCACACGCCCCCAAGCCGCCTCTATCTGCGTCCCTCCCCCTGAACGTGGACTTGGCTGGAACTGGGCTGCCCCCCGCGCCCCCAGGTCATGGTCTAGAGGGGAGACCCAGGCGAGCATGACATTACAGCTCGCAGACACGGGGTAACATGGAGCTCCAAGGACACCGGACGAGCCTGGCGGAGGGGCCTACGCTGCCAAGTGAGGCACGGGTCTACGCCAGGCAGGGCGGGAGGAGGCTGACCGGCTCTGTGGGTCTACACAGGCGCCTAGTGGGAAGGACCGGAGGCCAGCAAACACCCGCTCCCACTCACCTCCTCGTCCGCTTTGCACCCCCATCGAGAACACCCCAAGCGTTCACCCGAGTCAGGCCCTGCCCTCCTCGGCCCCCACCTCCTTCAGGGCAAAACCCCAAGTCCTCCCTGTGGCCCCCAAGGCCCTGCATGACCTGCCCCACCCCCTGCCTGCCCTCCCCTCCTCTCCCACTCCTCCCTCGCTCTGCTCCAGCCACAGGGGCCTCCCTGCCACTCTTCCAAGGAACAGGGAGGGTACTCCCCCAGGACCTTTGCATGGGCTGCATCCTGTGCTGAAGCACTTTCTCCACATAACTGCCTTCCTTCACTCACATCCCTGTCCACCGATCGATTAAAAAGGGCAACACCTCTGCCTCCTCCACCCTCCCCCTGCTTCATCTCCTCCTCAGCACTTGCTGTTTCCACCATAACACAAGGTGTCCGCGGTCCCACACACTCAAAATGGCAGGACTTATGGGAAAGGGGAGGTTTGGAATAGGGCCCTCTGGGTGAGGAGAGCTCCGACCGAAACCGTGACTGGCACATGGAGAGTCACCTGGGGCAGCTGCGCGGACCGGAGGTCACTTCAGGGATACTAAAATACCTAAAAGAGTAAAATGGAGGCAGCCGCCCTGTGCGCATCCGCAAAGGAGCTCCCTGCTTATGGAGACAAGGCCTCAGCAGCCCAGGATTCCATTCATTTCCCGTTTTCTGTGTCCCTTGAGGTAACAGGGCCCGGTACACAGCAGGTGCTCAATAAACGTCAGCCCAGTGAATAAGACGAACAAAGGAAACAGACGTCACGGGTTGGCGAGCTCACCAATGGGTTTTATATCAGCAAAGAATCGCTTTTATGTTTTTAAATATCTTCCTAAAAAAATTTTTTTAATGAAATACTTTGAGAGAGAGAGAACGCGCATGCGCAAGGAGGGGAGGGGCAGAGAGAGGGGGAGACAGACGATCTGAAGTGGGCTCTACACAGACAGCACACAGCCCGATGTGGGGCTCGAACTCAGGACCTGTGAGATCATGACCTGAGCTTAAGTTTGATGCTTAACTGACTGAGTCACCCGGGCGCCTCCCAAATCCCTCTTTTAAATCAAACGGAGGAGGGACGCATGGGGAGCTCAGTCGGTTAAGCCTCCAGCTCCAAATTTCGGCTCAGGTCATGATATTACGGTTTGTGGGTTCGAGCCCCAAGTCGGGCTCTGTGCTGACAGCTCGGAGCCTGGAGCTGCTTCGGATTCTGTGTCTCCCTCTCTCTGCCCTTCCGTGGTCTGTCTCTGTCTCGCTCTCAAAATAAATAAACTTAAAATCAAAGGGACGCTACTTCCCCAAATGTGAAAATGATGTGAAATGCAAATCTCAGCGTCCATCAGCCCCGCCCCCCGTGGCCACGCCCCTCTGCTGGCGCCAGTTTACCGCGGCCTTTATGCGCAGGGGCAGGGTTCAGTCCTGCCGTCTGGCCTGTGGGGCTGGACACCACCCGTGCTTCACAGACACCGCGTGCCGAGTGCTACCAGGTCACACGAGGCGGGGACACTGCGGCACAAGGGCCACAGGCGGGGAGAGGGCCACCCACCTGCCTCATGGCGCACCATGGGCTCCTGGCGCGTGTCCCGCAGCACGTCCAGGAGCGCGGGGATGGCCCGCGGGTCCTGCATCTGGCCCAGGCAGTAGGCCAGCTCGTGCTTGAGCAGGGCTGAGTCGTCGCCGAAGGCCTTGCTGATCCAGGCGATGGCCCCGGGGCCGCCGAGCCCGCGGAGGGTGAAGAGGGCCCGGAAGCGGGCGTGCAGGGGCTGCCGGGGATCCGCCAGCGCGCGCCCCACGGCCTCCAGCTCCTGCTCGGTGACCATGGCGCCGCCGCCTCCCTCCCGCCGGGGCCGAAGCTGGGGGCTCTGGGGCTGCGGGACCTGCGCGCAGAAAACCGAGAGCCCAGGTGAGAGACGTTTCCCGCCTGCCCACGGACCTGAGGGGGGGATTCCTACCTGCTGACCATCCTGGGCGTCTGGGTTGAAAGCCAGGGTCTGGCCCTGTCTGCTTGCTGGGCGGCCTTCCATAAGTGACCTTCCCTCTCTGGGCCTCTCGGCTCTATAGCAGCAGTGACCTGTGCTGAGCTGCGCTCCGCTCAGTCGCCAACGCGCCCGGATGAGCCCCACGCTGTGCGGCCCCTCCCACACCGAACAGGGCTGAGCAGCACGAACAACGGGGCACGGGAGAAATGACCGTGACTCCCGAGGGCGGGTCACAGGACACTCTGGCGTCTTTGCCTGCTCGTGGGAAGCCAGCGGCCCTGCCGCAAGGAGGCTCCGTCAGCCCCGCGTCAGGGCTCGCCGGGCGAGGGACTGAGGCCTCTGGCCAATCCTCACGAGCCAGCAGGAGGCTGAGAACAGCTCCTCCAGCCCCCATCCAGCCGGGGGGCTGCACCCCGTCACCGCCCTGCATGCGTCTCCTGTGGCGCCTTCAAGCTCCCTGCCGGTCCCCAAGACCTGCCAGCCCTCCCCTCCTCCCTCTCCCCGCCTCACTCACTCTGCTCCAGCTACACAGGCTTCCTGGCTGTTCCTCCAACAGGCCAGTGGCCTAGTCCTGCCCCAGGATCCTTGCACAGATCTGTTCTCTTCCTTAGGAACAGTCTTCCCCAGATGCCTCCCATGCTCACTCTCTCACTCCCTTGGGTCTCAAATGTTACCTCCTCAGGGAAGCCTTCCCTGATCACAGTCTTCACTGTTAGTCTCTTCACTTGTTTCACTTTTCTGCAAAGCACTTGCCACAGCGGGGCTTGTCCGTCACCACAGCTCTGAAGGCAGGGACCGAGTCTATCTCGGTCACCACTGAACCCCGAGCACACAGTAAGCCCTTAATGAAAACAGCAGCCCTACAAGTAACAGCAGCTGACACGCAGAGCGTCTGCGACGTGGCAGGCGCCTCTCCGAAGCCCTTTACATTCACGAGCTCCTGTGATTCTCCCCCATAAAACTAGGGGACGGCACTAGGATTGTCACCCTTTTACGGGCGAGAAGGCAGAAGCACAGAGAGGTGCTTTGGAACCGCGTAAAGAGCTACACGCCCAGGTAGCTGGGCTCCAGAGTCAAGTTCTAAACCACAACTGTTAGGCTGAATGGATGGACTATGATGAAAGGACCCGGCTGGGCTGGGCTGGGAGGAGGGGCTCCCTCTCCACCATCCAGGTCAACCTAGACCTGCCCCGATGCTTCGTAGAGCGTGCTGGGGTGTGCGGCGGCCTTCCGGTCCCCTGCAGCCGACCAGGCTTAATGAGGACGTGCAGCGGCCTGAGCATGGAAGACCTCCAAGGAGGTGACACCTTGAACTGAGGACCACCAGAGATCACAGGAGGCAGCGAGCGGGCAAGGACTTAGGGCCATGAGATCTGACTTCACAGTCAGGCAGCGACTCGTCTGGGGCCCCAGCGCAGGCCGAGGGCAAACAGGGCCCAGGACTCCTGCCTCCCGGTCTGCGCGGGGTGGCCCTCAAGACACCTGGAAAGGGCCCTTCATCGCCTACTCATCCCCAGAGTCCTCAGATGCCTGGGGATGAGGGGAGATCTGGTCACCGGGGCAGATCCAGCTACAGGAGAGGAACGTGTACACAAAACAGGGCGAGACCCGAGTGGGGGCAAAAGCCTCTGGATTTGGCTTCTTCGTTTGGAATCAAACTACTAACAGCTCCCGAGCCGGGTTTCCTTCCCGTCTCTGTCCCGATGTTAAGTGTGCAGGCAGGACTTCTGAGCAACCGGCTTTAACACCACAAACCCTCCACTGCCTGGCACCACCGCTGGTGGTGGCTTCCGTGGCTCTCGCAGCCCTTGGCGTCCAGTACATTTCACTCATCTGTTTCTTACTAGAAAGTCAGCAACACAAGGACGGGGCTTTATACTTAAATAAAGGTAAACCTGTATCTCTCCCCCCCCCCCCACACACAGTATATACACCGTTTTGTTCTCTGCTCTGTCCTAGCACGGATCGGTCGCCATGGTAGGAGGGCCCAATCCCTATTTGTTGAATGAACTGAACATCGACTGCACACCAGGCACGGTACTAGGCACTGCATACCCGGAGTAAATCTGTGTCATTCGTACAATGGGTAGAAGGGGCACATGCAGCGAGTGAAGGGGAGCTCATGGAGCACCTTGTACAATGGCGGGCACTTAGCAGGCCGTCGGACAAACCAGAGCTGGTGTTAAATATTCCTGCAGGAGCCCCAAACCCACCTCTGTGCTCAGGAGGCGCACTTAGCCGCCTGGAAGCCCGCAGCTCACACTTTAGGCCCATTTCTCAAGTGGGCAGGGGGGCAAGGGTGTGGGCTTGAGGGGATCAGCCCCCAACCAAGGCGGAATCGGGGAATCCGCTCGCCCCTGTGAGAGCCTCTCAGAGGCAGACACGATGAGTCAGTAAGGGATGGAGACAGAGACCGGGATCCCGCCCCTCCCCCTCCGGAGCACGCTTGGCTCCCCGGCTCCCCCCAACGAAGGGATCTCTGGCGACAGGGTCCCCAGAACCCGAGGAAAGAGCTCGCCGGGACTCTAAACCCCTCAGGAGGGGGCCCCTCGACCCCCGCTCCGCCCCAGCAACGAATCCGAGACGAGACCACCTCCCGCGGCGCCCTCCCCGCGCCCGCCCGCCAGGCCCCGGCCACGTACCGCGCTCTCTGCGGCCGGAACGCCCGAGCGACCTGCGGAAGACCAGGTACGCCGAGCCCGCCCGCTCCCTCCGCCGCCACCTGAGTGTCACCAACCGCGACGCTCGCAGCGCGCTCCGGGCGCCGCCATCTTGTCGCCCACGTGACCGGCCCGGACGGCACCAACGCAGCCCTCGGGGGGAGTTCCCGTCAAAGTCTCCGCGGCGGGAGAGAGGCCTGGAAGCGTGAGTCGGCACCGGCGCCACAGCTCACACACTCACACCACATGGAGTCCGAGGACGTCCCTCAGGGAGGGGAAAGGGCAAACTTTCGTTCTTTTCCCGGAAGAGATGCTCCCCGGCTTCCCCACCCGGTTCGACAAGTGGAAATGGTTGGCGCCGATTCAGGCCGGAGCCCGGGGCCGGCTAGCCACGGAGCATGCGCAGCGTCCCTGGGGCGTGGTCAAGCCATGGGGGCGTGGCCAACGGCTTCCGGGGGCTGGACCCGAGCTTGGGAAGGGAGGGATCTTGTCCTTTCCCCCAACACGACCAAGTCGTTCCTTCGTCGTTCTCTTAACAGTTAATGGAAGCTGAGGACAGGACAGCCTGCAGTTCATACCCTCGTAAACCTCACAGCCTGGTTGTCTGAGGGAGACTGACAATAAATACGTAAAATACAGGTTAGGTGGTGACGCATGTTAAAGGGAATAAGGTATTCAAGCAAGGTGCACGTACGGACCGTGAGGTGGCCGCAGTGGGCGGTGATGACCAGGTAAAGGTCTGGCAGGTGCGGGAAGGAGCCCTGGGGAGATTTGGGGGCAGAGCCACCCAGACATAAGAAGGACTTGGCTTTACTCTGAGAAATGAGAGGCCACGGAAGTGTTCAAGCAGGGACATTCCGAACAGGCTTTTTTGGACGGGTAGGCAGAAAATAGGTAATAGGAGGGTGGACCCAAAGAGACCAGAAGTACTCAGATTCGGGATTAATTTTGTTTATTATCATTATTATTTTTTAGAGATTTTAAGTAATTTCTACACCCAACGTGAGGCTCGAACCCACAACCCGGAGATCAAGAGTGGCACGTTCCACTCGCTGAGGCGGCCAGGCACCCCTGGGTTAATTTCGAAGGTAGAGCAAACAGGATTTGATGACGGATTGGATATGGAGTTTAGGAGAAAGAGTGCTGTCGAGGATAAGTACAAGGTTTTTCACCAGTAGCTGGAAGCCATCCTTACCTTCCCATCCTATCCATGCAAGGTCTGAAACGGGGTCGGAATCCAGTCGCTTTTTTTGCTGCCCCCATGAGAGTCCAGACCGCCACTGGTTGTCACCAGGATGCTGTCCACACAAGAAAAAGCGAGCTTTTAAGCAGCTATGTCCAAACAATATAGTATTCCTCAAAAAGTTTCAACTAGGCGCCTCCGGTGAGTGGGGTCATGAGAGATGTGCCCTTTTGTGTCTGGCTTTTTGCACTGAGCACAATGTCCTTAAGGTCCATCGATGTTGCAGTAGGTATCAGGCTGTCCTTCCCTCTTAGGGCTGAATAGTATCGCATCGTATGGATGCACCAGTTTGTTCATCCCTTTCATCTGTTGATGGGCATTTGGACTGTTTCCACCTTTTGGCTACTGTGACTAAGACTGCTGTAAACACCGGTGTACAAGAATCTATTTGATTCCTTACTTTCAACTCTTGTGGGCATATACCTCTGGGTGCAATTTCTGGATCCTATGGTCATTCTGCGTTTACCTTGTGAGGAACCGCTGAGCTGTTTTCCACGGTGGCAGTGCCGTTTTACATCCTTGCCAGCCTTGCTCAAGGGCTCCAATTTGTCCACATCTGCACCTTTAAAAAAATGTTTATTCATGTTATTCACAGAGAGTGCAAGTGGAGGAGGGTCAGAGAGAGAGAGAGAGAGGGAGACACAGAATCCAAAGCAGGCTCTAGGCTCTGAGCTGTCAACAAAGAGCCCGACGCGGGGCTCAAACTCACAAACCGTGAGATCATGACCTGAGCCAAAGTCGGACACTCAACTGACTGAGCCACCCAGGCGCCCCTCCACTTTTTGATAGTAGCTGTTCTAATGGACATGAGGTATGCAACTTATTTTGATATGCATAATGTGTGAGTGTGAGAGAGTGTGTGTGTGTGTGTGTGTGTGTGTGAGGCTAGCTATATAATAGAGCAAATAACAGCTAAATGTTAACTGGAGAAAGTGGATGGTGGGTATATGACAGTTAACTATACAATTCTTTAAACTTTTCTTTTTTAAAAAAGATGTATATTTATTTTCAGAAATAGCACAAGTGAAGGAGGGGCAGAGAGAGAGAGAGAATCCCAAGCAAGGTCTGTGCTGCCAGAGCAGAGAGCCTGACTTGAGTCTCAGTCTCACGAACCATGAGATCATGACCTGAGCCGAAATCAAGAGTTGGCCAGTTTCCCCACTGAGCCCCCCAGGCGCCCCCGACCTAAACTTTTCTATACATTTGAAAGTTTTCATAATAAATCACTGGAACAATAAGTGGCAGGGAAAAGGCGACTACTATTCCCAGCATTTAAAGGTTTCAAAGTCGGGGCGCCTGGGGGGCTCAGTGGGTTAAGTGTCTGACTTTGGCTCAGGTCGTGATCTCACGGTTTCTGAGTTTGAGCCCTGCTGATGGTGCAGAGCCTGCTTGGGATTCTCTCACTTCCTCTCTCTCTGCCCCTACTCCACATGCGCCTGCTCTCTCTCGCTCTCTCTCTCAAAATAAACTTTAAAAAATAATGAATATTTTGGAGTTAAACAAAAGTGCTTCCACTTTGAAAGGTGGAAATGAAGCACTCGTTGCAACCTTATTTGTGATGGCAAGAAAAAAAAAGTTTGAAAAAAACGCCTCTTCTCTGCCTCCGGAGCGCCCAGCTCCGATGGTCACTCACCTGGACCCCAGCCGTCCCTTCCAGCCTGTTGTCACCCCTCACGGTCGGTCCTCCCTGCTGCAGCCACCAGAGGGCGCCGGGAGCGCCTGAGTCAGGTCCCGCCCTCCTCTGCCCACAGCCCACAAGGACTCCCACCTCCCTTGGGGTAAAAGCCCAAATTCTCCCCACGGCCCAAAGGCCCTGCATGGTCTGCAAGGCCCAGACCCCTCCTTGCCCTCCCTTCCCCCCTCTCTCCCCCTCACTCATCTGCTCCAGTCAAATGGGCCTCCTCACTCATTTCCAAAACCCAGGCAGGTCCTGCCCCAGGGCCTTTGCATGTGCTGTGCCCTCTGTCTGGACTGCTCTTCCCTCTGGTCCCCCCATACCTGGTTCCCTTCCTCCTCTGGGTTTCTGCTACCGTATCTGAAGCTTTAACTCCCCTCTTAGTAGGCCCAGCCCCATAGACCACCCCCCCCGATCCCACTCCCACTCTTCACTTTCTAACCCAACTCATCACTTTAAGGTTCTGTTTTTCTCAGTCTGTCCCTTGTCGCGAATGTCAGCCCCATGAGGTCAGGGATTTCCCAGGAGCGGGAACAGCTGGAGCCAAGGCCCTGAGGTGGGGGCGGACGCGCAGAGCCCCAGCCGGGTTGGTGGAGCTGAACGGGGAGGGGGCCAGCGGGCGGAAGTGATTTGCGCTGTGATTAATCCGGGCAGACGGTGCCCTTGGAGGCGCCCCAATCCTCTTACCCAAAGCCCTTAATACTTCCGCCGCGCCGGTCACCTCTGGGCCTCTGCCGCCGCGGGCGGCCGCCATGCCGGGGCTGGCGGGGGAGGAGGCGCCGGAGGGCCGGAGCCCGGCCCCGCCGCCCTACGAGGAGTACCGCCCGCCGCCGCTGGACGCCATCCGCCTGCCCACGCACGTGCTGTACCTGCTGCTGGCGGCCTTCCTGGTGGCGGCGGTGGCCTACGCCATCGTGGGCCACCTCATCAAGGACCTCGCCCACGACCTGGCCGGTGAGCCGCTGCCCGCCCGGGGCTGGCCTGGGGCAGCGCTGGGGCCCCTGCCCCGGGGAGGGGGCGCGCGTGCGCGGCCCCGGGGGCCCCTCACCCGCGTGTCCTACCGCAGACTGGGCCTTCGGCCCGAAGCCGGACCAGGAGCACCGCCCCCAGGAGCCGCGCCCCAGCCTGGAGGGCGACGACCTGGAAGAGCTGGACCTGCAGCTGGCCCTGGCCTGGCGCGGCGACGAGGACCCGAGCGGGGGCGCGGAGGCGACCCCCGCCGCGGCCCCCGCCCCCGCTCCCCGCCGCCCTTCCGTCGCCTTCAAGGGCCCACCTGCTCGGAGCTCCTTCTGGAGGCTGAACTGAGCTGGGCCCTGCCCTCGGGCCTGGGGCCCGGGTGTGGACCCCTTTGGCGGTTGTGTAGACTGCGCTCGTGTGAGCAGGATCCCTTGTCCGCTGGTCTGCCCTGGCCTGGCACGGAGCCTTCTCTCTCTTGGCTGCCGGTTGCCAGCGGTTAGTCGCTGGCACCTTCCGCCTGCGTCCGCGGAGCCCCAGAGCCTAATCCGGCCGGGCCTCCACCGGGAAGATTTTTTTTAAAGTAGTGACCATGGTGGTTCACCTCGGCCCAGCCCTGGGCTCGCGCCTGCTACTGTGCTCCGGGGCCTTTTCCGTGTATTGTCTCATTTGATTCCCCATGTAACAGATGGGAAAATGGGGGCACGAAGTCCAGAGAGGACTGTTGCTCGCAGTAGAGAGAACTTTCTGCGGAAAGAGGCCAGTTCCCTGACCTGCCTTGGAAAGCAGAAGCCCCCGGGAGGGGGGGGGGGTTCTGCCAACCCTCGTCTCCCGAATCTGCTCGGCCCCCCACCTCTGGCCTCCTTCCCAGGCTCTGCTGCTGGGTCTGCGGGTCTCTGGGGTCCTGACTTCCCAGCGAACCCGAGAATTCCCGGACGACAGGGCCTGAGGCTTCCTCCCTCCCTCTGAGGGCTTTGCGCAGGACATGGCACACAGCAGGGGTTCCCATGTGCCACCTGGGTGGTGGCGGTGCGCCCGCCCTGAGCGCCACGGCTCCACTGGGCCGCCCGTTGTCTATAGTCAGACCTCAGGGAGGGAGGAGGCCCGGGTGGGCAGAGGCGCTCCGACACTGGCATCCCTCACCCCCCCCCTGCCCGCAGAGGCCCCCACCCTGGGCTTCCTGCCACGTGCCCGGGCTGTGGCTGTCCCGTGGCGGCTGGGGTGGGGCACAGCTCTGCTTGGGCAGGATCCCCTATCTAATCAACCCGGGGACCAAGGGTGACGGGCAGCAGACTGGAGCCTGAGTCAGCCGCTGCCCGGGCGGCCCGGCCTCCAGCCGTCAGGGCGCGGCTGCCCCTCGAGCCGGACAGTGGGCACGTGGCCCGTCGCTTCTCGCCCCTGTGTTCATCCCAGCGACCCGGGAGCCAGGACGAGGCGGGTGGAGACGGAGGCCTGGGTGCAGATCCCAGCGCCAGAAATTTCCACGGGACCTCTGTGCTCCTGGCATCCTGGAGCTTCTCTGCAGACTGGAGCCCTAACATTCGGTGGGGAGTTCGGAGACGCAGGGGTGCCCGGAGGCCCGCTCCGCCCGGCCCCTGCAGCAGGCCGGCTCGGCGGGCAGGGCAGAGGCCGGGCGTTCACTGTGATCCCGGGTCCAGAGTCCGACCTGCCCGTGGGGAGGAGGAGGGGAGGGGCGAGGGGAGGGGCGAAGGGGGGCCCCACCCCGGGGCCGCCGGCGCGGGATCGCGGCCTGGGCTGAGCCTCATCCCGCCGACCCTGCCTGTGCTGGCTGCCGCTCCTCCGTGGCCATGGGGACCCTGGGGACGCTCTTCCTGCTGGGCGCCCTGCTGCTGTCACCCGCCGAGGCTCAGGAGGGTAGGGCTCTGACCTGGACCTGGGGGCGGGGGGTGGGGAGCGGTCGTGGGGTGGGCTCGCTCGTAGGCTCCCCGTCTCCCCGGTTTTCATGAGGCCCCGAGGCCTCTGAGGGGAGGGGGCAGGGAGACGAGGAGGGGGGCCATGCCCCCCATGGAGCTCCCCCCCCCCGCCCCTACACTCCCTCGGGGCCCCCCCCCCCGTCCCTGAGGGCACCCCCCCAGCCTCCTCCCCTTCTCTAGAGCTGGTCTCTGAAACCCAGCCCCTTTCCAAGACCCGGTCTGCGGGGGCGCCCGCCAGCGCCTCTCCCCTCTCCCCTGCCTGCGGGGTGGGGGGGGGCGTGCCGGGCGCCCCGCCTGAGTCCCACCTGCCCCCCTCCGACAGCCGCACCGCCGCGCCTGAAGCCTTGGCTGGTGGGCCTGGCTGCCCTCGTCGTGTTCCTGTTTATCGTCTTCGTGCTCATGCTGGCCAACCGCATCTGGTGCTCCAAAGTGAGGTGGGAGCCCCCTGCCCAGCGCCCGGCCCCCCGCGCCCCGAAGCGCTGGCGCCCCTCCCGCTTTGACTCGCTCTGGTCCCTTCTTCCGCTTCCCCATTTCCCTGCCCGCACCCCACAGTCCGGGAGCGCCTTGCTGTCCCCCCAGCTCGCTTCCTGTAGCTCGCGGGCCCCAGCTCATGGGAGGGAGACTGGGGCCGCGGGTCTCCCTACTTCCTGCCCTTCACCCCCTCACCCCCGCTTCCATCTCTCCTACAGAGATGGGGATGAGGAGTCCAGGTTGAGAATGGAGGCCAACCCATACCAGGACGTGAGGTACTGCCTGTGTGAGCGTGTGTGGCTCTGCGGGCCCAGGGCGTCTGCGTGACTGTGTGAGCCCTGGGGGGGGGGGGCACGGGCGTGCCAGATGACCTCCTTCTGCTCTGGAACACTTCAAACACGTTCCTGCCCCAGGGCCTTTGCACTTACCTTCCCCGCTGACTGGGACGCTGTTCTGTTCGCTGTGTCTTCTGGCTGGCTCCTCCTCCAGTCCCTGCCCAGATGTTTCCTCCTCAGGGAAGCCCACCCTGAGCGCCAGCCCTCCTGACGCTCTGTGTCCCGCGGCTGTTGTGCGTTTTTCTCCGCACCTACCGCCAGCTGAAATCAGTCATTTACCACTTTCTCGACACCACACAGTAGCTTCCAGTTGATTAACAGAACTTAGCTTTGGTCCTGGCTGTGTGCCCGGTGCTCAGCCCAGGGCCTGGCACCCAGCAGGCACTTAGCAAACACGTGCTGAATAAGGCACTCAGTGCCTTCCGTGGTCCCGACGGCTTCCAGACATGATTCTGATGGACGGCTCCCGGACGTGGCGGGGCGGGGTCCCTGCCAGTACAACATCTCAACGTGGGCAAAAGTTGGGGGGTGGGAGTGGAGGGCAGGAGATGGGAGGAGGCCAGTCTGACTGGAAGATCCTCAGTTGAGCCCAAGATGCGCTCGAAGGAGACGTGTAGGCCCGATGGTTTGCTTTGCCCAAGGTCTGGTGCAGCTGTGGCTGCGTGTGATTCCCACTCCCAGCACGTGCTGGAGGCCGTAGAGCCCCCCAGCGCTGCGAAGCTGGTAGTTTCCTCCCTGCTTTGTTCGTTCCTCCGTCCGTCCATCATCCATCATCCATCATCCATCCGTCCGCCTACCCGGACCTCACTCCCCACCCGTCCCTCATTCATCCCTCAAACTCCTTACGCAGTAACGCACCGACCCAGCCATCTGTCCGCCCGTCCGCACGTCATCCCTGCACCGCTGATCTGTCATTTTCTTCTTCCTGTTGTTCATCCACTCGTCTTCCCATTCACTTATTCATCTTCCCATTCACTTATTCATCTTCCCATTCACTTATTCATCTTCCCATTCACTTATTCATCTCTCCTTGCAGCTATCCATCCACCTGACCACTTACCTGCCCATCACCTGTCCGTCTGTCTGTCCGTCTGTCCGTCCATCACCTGTCCGTCTGTCTCTCCGTCCGTCCGTCCGTCCATCCACCTGCCCATCCAGGGGATGGTTGAGCCTTAGTTTCTGCCTTTGTGAAAAAGAAATACGGCTTCCTCCCAGGAACTGTTCAGGACTCAACACAGATCCTTTTTGTAATCGCGCGGCCTGGCGCAGGTCAGCGGACATGAGACGGGAGCAGCTCTGTTCTGACTGTGGTCTGGCGCCTTTGTATTCCTACAGTGAAGAAGGCAAGAGGAAGAAGGAGGAGAGGGTAAAGGGCGACGAGGCGGAGGAGGAGGAAGGAGAGAGAAACGCGGGGCTGGAGCTGGACGAGAAAGAGGGCCCCAGAGATGAGGAGAAGCTCACGAACACAGCCGTGTGAAGGCTCCACACACTTCTTCCAGGCAGCTCCCCAGAGTTGCCCCTTCCACACCATGTAAAGAACGCCCTGGACGTGAAGCCGCCACCGGAGTCCACGTCGCGCTGAGAACACGCTCCCCGAATGGAGACCCGTGGAACCTGCCCCGCCCCTCGGGGAGGGCTCTCCGGGCGCTGCGAGCACAGGCTGTACCCACCGTCCTTCCCGAGCTGTCGGCGCAGACTCTCGCACTTGGAGGGCATTCGTGGTTATGGAGAAACCCCTGAGACCCCCACCAGCTCATGGCTCCACCCACTTCTACCCACTGCCTGATTTCCTTTCCCTCTCCCTGATGTCTGTTGTCCAGAACCTCCCCCGCCCCTCTCGGCCCCAGGACCAGCGTGGGGCCGGGGCTGCCTTTGGGGACCTGCATTAAAGCATTGATAAGAGCCCTTCAGAAGAGGTCCTGTTATCTCTTGGGACTCAGTTTCCCCCTGGGGGAGGCAGCTTTGGGGGTTGGGGCCAGTGCCTGGGTGGGTACGGAAGAGCAAGCCAGCCAGTGCCCGGATGCCCCCCGCACACTGAACCCTCTCCGTGCAATCTTGATTCTGCTGCCCGGAGACCTGGACTTTGAGCCCCCAGAGTGCTGTATCCCGGGGAGGCCTTGCTTCTCCGCCCTCGGGGTCACGTGGCCCCGTTATGGGGACCGGGGTCTGGGAGGCTGCGGGTGCGCCAGGGTTCTGCGCTCTCTTGGGAAGCAAGTACTTTCTCCTCCCCGTTTCCAGCCTCCTCTTTCACCTCACTCTCTCCGGGGGCCCTGGACCTTGCCCTGGGGGGTGTTAATTATTTCTTAGTAAGGACCTTGATAACGGCCGGCATTCCGGAGCGGTCCTGGGGCCGTACCTGGGGCTGGTAGCATGCAACCCAGAAGGCAGGCGGCCTCTGCGCAAGAACACTTCCAGGGCTGTCCACCAGGGGGCGGAAAACCATAAATAAAATAAAGGTAATAACCGCCCTATTAGATGCTCCCAGGGAGCCCCCGTCATCTTTATCCTCTCTCAGTACACAATCCGTCCCATCTTCCAGCCAAACATGCTGAGGCACAGAAAGAGATGTCCCTGGCTGATGTTGGCAGAGCTGGGATGGGGAAGCCCTGGCTGCCCGAAGGATGAGGGAGTCTGCGGGCTCTAGCTAAGGTCACATTTGGAGATAAACGTCCTGGGATGGGGGGCGCTGGGGTGTGGGGTGCCCGTTCCCGGCTGTGCTTCCTCCCTGGGAGAACTGTGTCCCTGTGCAACCCAGACGCAGCCTGCAACCCGAGAGCCAGAGATGGGGCGAGAAGGGAGGCATCAGGGGTTAGAACCATTGCAGGCCGTGGCGCCCAGCAGGTGCTCGGGGAATGAGTTCCCCACCTCTCCTGACCTCTCCTCCCCTGGCTCTGGCCGTGGGGAGTGAGGGGGTCAGGGCGGGCCTCAGGGGGATGCCTGGGACCCTGGGGCCTCTTCCCCAGCCTGCCGCAATCTAGGGAAGGGGGCCCCACCCCCACTTCCGTGGGCACTGACCACACCTTGCCCTGGGGTGTCCTGGGCAGGCCACTTCCTCCTCTCATGGGGAGGCACCCCAGAACCTGCTGGATGGAGGCGGGGACAGACTGACAAGGATGGACAGGCGCTGGGTGACCGCTGGCCGCGTGTCCCTTCTGTTCTTTTTTTTTTTTTAATGTTTTATTTATTTCTAGGAGAGAGAGAGAGAGAGACAGCGTGAGCAGGGGAGGGTCAGAGAGAGAGGGAGTCACAGACCGAAACAGGCTCCAGGCTCTGAGCTGGCAGTCAGCACAGAGCCCGACGCGGGGCACGAACCCACGAACCGCGAGATCATGACCTGAGCGAAAGTCGGACGCTTAACCGACTATGCCACCCGGGCGCCCCTCCGCGTGTCCCTTCTGGCAGCCCTGGCTCCGCTCCTGGTTCTGGCACAACCCTGTAAAGTCTCCGGGAGGGGGGGAGGCGGGAGGGGAACCCCGATGCGGCGGCCCAGCCTCTGACCCGCCCCGCCCGCAGTGGCCCAGAGGAAGGCGTGGCTGGCGTGGCTGGGGCCGCGCCGGCCACCCTCTTCCTGCTCTTCATCCTCACCGTGGTCTATGCAGTCTGGTGCAGCGAGCGCCAAGACAGGTGGGCCCCGTTGAGCCTGGGCCCCCCTCCCCTGCCGAACCGATGGCCCCTGGGAGCCCCTCCCCTCTCCCCTCTGACAGGAGGGAAGCAGGCCGGGCAGGGCCAGGGGGTGAGTCTTTGGCTCACTGACTCCCCTCCTTACTACCTACCTGACAGCGACGTGCTTCATCGGTCAACTTCACCACCTCCCTTCACCCCCCCCCCCCCGCCCTCCGCCCACTCCTCTGGGTGTATCTGTCCCCCACAGGTGCCTCCGTCTGTCCACCTGTCCGCCACCCACCCACAAGTCCATCCACTCATTAAGCTAGCCACCCATCAACCCACCCACCTCTCCGCCTGTCCACGCAGCCGCAGTTCTGAGGCTCAGGAAGCCAGGAAGGCCACGTGTTAAGAGCACTGTTTGGTCTCCTGCAGCTCACGAGTGGCCTCCGGCAAGGGTCCTGACCCGTCTGCGCCTCAGCACCCCTTCTGTACAATGGGAACGACAAGGGGTGCAGGACTCGGAGGTGGCGGGAGAATCGCAAGAGGCCTGGAGCGCTGGAAGTCCTTACTAAATCAGGTTTTCTGGACCCTTGTCTCCACAGCAATAAAGAGGAGGAAGAGGGGCGTGTGAGAAAGGAGGAGAAAGAGGCAGAGGGCGACCACGGGCTGGAGCTGGAGGAGAGAGAGGCGCCTCCAAACCATGAAAGAGTGGCGAGCTCCTCCGAATGAAGGCAGCCCACCCGCCTCCTCCAGGCAGGCCTCCAGGGATGCCCAATGCCTGCTCTGTACTCAGCAAGCAAAATCCTGGTCCTGGAGCCAGGAGAAGCATTCCATGTGGGAATCGGGGCGAAGTGTCCCTGAATGAGGGGCCACCCCGAGTCCCTCTCCGAGGCTTCTTTGCATTTACCTGGGTGTTTATACGACCCCTTCCCCAGCACATCCTGCCCGAGCCCCCTTTTCACTGGCAAGAGGGACGTGGGCAGAGGGCAACGGGCTCTCCCCGGGGCAATCCAGTCCTCGCGCAATCTTGCTTCCGCTGCTCCTGGGCTTGAACTTTGAGCCGATGCAGCACCGGGCGGTTTCCTGGGAGACGAGCGCCCCTCCCACCGTGTGCTGAGTCTCGGGTCAGTGTCCCTCGAGCTGGGGCTGCGCAGGGGCTGAGGCTGGGAGGGGACGCCGTGTCATCACCCCCTCCCGCCCCGCGCTCCTCCAGGTGGCGGCTCCGCGGCTTCGTCCTTGCTGTGTGGCCCTGAGCGTGTGACTTAACCTCTCTGTGCCTAAGGGTCCTGTCCTGTAAGAGGGGGAGGAAAATAACCTGATCGTGTTAAGTCGTCATCAGGATTCAGTGACATGATGTCCACAAAATTCCTGAGCACAGAACCCGCACAGAACCCGGAACCCAAAGGTGTCTAAAACGCCGGCTTGTTGTTAGGCTGAAACGGCGTGGACGCGCCGGGCGCACGTGGATCTAGGTCACATGGTGAGTGCAGACAGCGGCTCCGGAGTCGCGGATCCGGGGTTCCGGGTGGGGGCGGGGCGGAGGTCGGGGAGAAGGGCGGGGCCGCGCGGGCTCCTCCCCTTCCGCAGGGGAGGGACTTCTCTAGGGGCGTCTGGAAGTGGGGAGGGGAGGAGGGGAGCGTTTTGTTGCTGTCGCAAGTCTGCGTCCCTTGTGTGACAATTATTTGGGGGCCCAGGGGACGGCAAACCGCCCGCAGTGTTGGGACAGCGCCCCCAAAGCCAAGAACTGCACCACCTCAGGGGCCAACGTCTGAAAACCACAGAGGCTTTCCTTGAGATCCAGGGCCGGCTTGCGCCCCGCCCCCCCCCCCCCCCCCCAACTAGCGGAGCCCTGACCTCGGGGCTGAGGACCCCAAGCCGGGTTGACCCCCCACCCCGGGTTAAGCCCCACACCCTTGGTTAAGTCCCACAGCCCTTAGTGACCCCCGACCCTGGCTGAGGCCCCCTGGGCTGAGCTCCAGACTGACCCCCCCACCCCTGGCTGAACCCCACAGCCCTGACCCCCTCATCCCAGCTGAATCCCCTGCCCCTGGTTTAGCTCCACAGGCCCGACTGACCCCCCACCCCCACTCCGGCTGAGCCCCCTACCCCTAGTTGAGCCCCACAGCCCTGGTCGAGACCCCATCCCGTATCAGCCCTACTCCAGATGAGCCCCCAACACCGTCTGAGCCCCCACAACAGGCTGAACCTTCATCTCGCAAAAGAAGCTTCTCGCTGCGGAGAGGGACTGGAGGGTGGGGGTGGGGGCGCGGGCGGCGGGGAGGGGGGCTGCCTGCCGCCGACTGCGCCCCAGGTCAGGCTTCTGGGTCCAGGTCCCCGTCCCGTCCGCAAGGGGGCGCCAGCACCTTGCTGCTGAGGCCGAAGCGCCCAGCCCTGTCCTAGGTGCGGCAGGGGAAGCGAGCACGTGGGATCCGGCGGCCACGGACCCCCCGCCCCTCGCCTGTCGTCTGTTCCTGTCCGGGCGGCGGCGTGGGGCCGTGCATCTGCGTGGAGTGAGTTGTGCGTCCCAACTCTGTGCCTCAGTTTCCCCATCAGTAAAGAGGGTAATCATCTCTGCGGGGGTGGGGGGGGTAAGGACTACGGAAGGAGCCTGTGCAGCAGAGAGCTTTGGCTGCCCGTCTTGGGGTGTCCTGGAGGTCTCCGGGGGACTTGGAATGGGGGGACAGGATGAGGGGCAGTGACTCAGCTCCCAGCCCCCCAAAGGGAAGTGACCGCCCCTCACACCTGCAACGCTCCTGTGCCCGCAGCCTCGCCCCTCCTGCCCCCAGCCTTTGAGGAGCCCCCACCGCTGCTGGGGTTGGGGAAGAACTGGACTGTGTGATCAGGGCCAGGGTAGGGCGGGCTGGGGGCTGGGGGCTGGGGGCTGGGGGCTGGGAGGGTAAACCGGGGCTCTGCCCGGGCAGGCGGGGAAGGCCTCCTGGATGACAGGGTGTTGGAACCAAGGTAGGTCCCACCCTCCTCTGCCCACAGCCCGCCAGGGCTCCCACCTTCCTGGGGAAAAGTCCAAGTCCTGATGGATGGCCCAGACGACCCCGCGAGCGGGCCCCGCCCTGTCCCCGCCCTGTCCCCGCCCCTCCCTGCCCGGTCCCTCGGTCCCCCACTCCGATGCAGCCACGCTAGCTTCCTGGCTGTTTCTCTAACACGCCAGGCAGGGTCCTACCCCAGGCCCTTTGCACAGCCTGTACTCTCTGCCTGAAACCCTCATCTGTCAGATTCTCGGAAGGCTGTCTCCCTCCTAATCAGGTCTTGTGTGAGACCCACTCTCGCATCCCTTACTTTGCTTTACTTCTTCGAAACTCACCTCCTCCGATATGTATGTTACTTATTTTTATTGTTTACCCTGAATCTCCCCAACTTGGAGCTGTAAGGGCTACGGAGGCAGGTTATTTTGGGCGTTTTGTTCTGAGCTGTGTCCCCAGTACTTGGTACTCAGCATATGCTCAGGAAATCTTTGCTGAACGAATGGGACTTTGACAGGTGGAAAAAGAGAGGGAATGCGTTCTGCACATTTATGGAGCGTCGCCTGTGTGCCAGCTTCTATCCTCGGAGCCCGGGGCGGGGGCGGGGGTGGGGGCAGGCAGAATTTCCTGGCACAGGGCAGGTGCTCCCTAGATAACCACGGAGTGTGCTGACCAAAGACCCTGGGGAGACGTGAGACCGTGGTGGTGGTGGGGGGACACCGGCTGGCCTCCTGTGGGGTCAGGAGGCCGTGGGACCTAAAGGCTCTGGGTAGAGAAGGGAGGCTGCGTTGAGCTGCAGAACAGGGGCAAAGGCCTGGGGTGTCACGCGGCCCCTCCTAGGAGCGGGAGACGGTAGGAGCCACCAGGGCCCAGATTACTCTGTAGGGGGCGCCCCGGGCCCTTCAGGGGGCTGAGCCTAACCCATGTCCCCCCTACCCCAAGTCAACAAATGTCTCCAGACACTGTGGGATGTCCCTGGGGACCCTCGATCTAAAGATCTCAGGACACCTACCCGATTGTCCGAAATGCTGGGGTCCCTGCCTCCGAGGCCACCAGCCCCTCCAGCTCCGCCCTGCATCTGGCCACGCCCCGCACAGAAAGGAGGACGCGAGACAGTCAGAAAGAGTCGAAGCTTAAGCTTGTTTAATTTTTATACATTTTTTCTTTTTCTTTTCTTCTTTTTTTTTTTTTTTTTGCTTTTTATTGAATCTTTTACGGAACCCCCCTTTTTTCATTTTTTTCTTTTTTTTTCTCTTTTTGCATAGGGAAACAAACAAAATAATAACAGCCAGAGTCACTTTCTGTAAATGGTACTTAGGTAGGCGCATCTGCAAAACCTGAAATGACTGAGTAATATACAAGGTTATGATCAGAGTATGACGTGAGGAGGGGGCAGGCGGGTGAGCCGGGCAAGGGAGGAGTCCCTTTCCCCACCCCTTCCCGCCTGGGGACGGGAGAGGTGGTCATGAACATGGGGTGTGTGTGTTTGTGTGTGTGAGAGAGAGAGAGAGAGAGAGAAAGAGAGAGAGGGGTGTCTGATGTGTGTCAAGCAGGAAGCAAGAAACAGAGTAAACTATCCTGGTAATATTGGTAAAATACAAAATGGGGGGGAACCTCAAAAAATATCCTGGAGGAAAAGAAAATGAACAGCAACACCACTAAAAAGTTTGTAAAAGAGAGAAAGGAAGGAAAGAAAAGGAAAGAAAGAAAGGAAATTCAGAGTCAAGTGGGTCTCTCCTTCCTCCCTGTCTCCCCTGTGCTGTGCTCTGACCCTCAAACTCCCGGGTCTGGCCCCCACGTGGAGTCCTGGGGCTGGGAGGGCAGAAGGCTGGGGGCAGAGGCCAGGACCCCCGGATTTGAAGGGACTTTGGTTTTGGAGGCCTGGCTGGCACCCAAGATGGGAGGATGGGGTGTGGATGCATTTGGGGAGTGGACTGGGCGCCCCCTGCTGGAGGGGGCTGGGACTGCCCCGTCCCTTTCCAGTGGGTCCCCATGTAGCCGGGACGTGTGGATGGAGGGCTGTGGAGAGGGCAGTAGCTTGGGGGGTAGTGACTTCCTTCCTCTCCCAGAGCCCTGAGTCCTGCTGGATCCCGCCTCCTCTTTTCCTGAGGCCTGGGGGGGGCCCTGGGGAACGGGGGAGGAGAACCCCAAAGCCACACCAGCAGACGTGTGAGGCACTGCTTGGGAAAAGTCTGTTTTGGTATCACTGGCAACAAGTCCTACTGGTGCAGCTCCGGGTCCCTGCCTCGCCTGGGGGTGGGGGCGGGGCCGGCTCAGGGGTCCCCACACACTCTGAAATGCTTAGTGGTGGATGGATGGGTGGACGGGAGAGGCTGTGTCAGTTTGGAGGGGGCATTGTCGGGAGGCGACCCAAGGGGCAGAAACGGGGAGATACAGGAAGATGCAGAGGAAGCCGATTCGAGATGGGTCTCTGGGTCCCCCTCCCAACACCTTCCAAAAAGAAAGTGAAAACCAGGTTCTCAGAGAGGGCATCCAGGCCAAAATAAAAATAAAAGGTAGCCACTGTATAATCTGTATTGAGAAAAAAATCCAAAATTATATAGAGATACATATACATGTGTCTAGTACAGGCCTACGCTGGAGGTCAGAGTGCGGCGGGGGAAGCCAGGCTGGGGAAGCCAGGCTGGGGGAGGGTCTGCCTGCTCTACCCTGCAGGGGCCCGGCTCACCGCTCCTGCCCCCCCTCCCCCCGCTCCTGCCTACCTGGCTGCTATACCTGGGGACAGACAGAAGGTTCCAGAACAGAGACCAGGATGTGTGGGGCTGAGGCTGGAATTGTCTGCTGCTTGGGGGGGGGGTGCAGCCGCCCCCACGTCTCCTTCTGGGGTTCCTCTTGTGTCTGATTGTCTAGCTCAGGGGTGGGGTCTTGGCTTGGAGCTTGGCAGGGGCCTGGGGCCCCCGACCCCTTTTCTCCTTGGCCGGATGGGCCCGGGGCTGCTCGCCCCCCACACCTCTGTCTCCACCCTTGGTAATCCAAGCCCGCACCCGAGAGAGGCCAGGGCCATTCGTATAGATTTGGGAGGCCTCCCCGTCTGTTCCACAGCACGGCTGGGACCTGGGGTCAGGCCAGGGGGGGGCTTCCTGGGGGTGGGCACAGACAACGGGGTGGGGGACAGCGGGCTTGGGAAGGGGATGGGGTCTGAGAAGACGTGAGTTCCACACAACCCTGTCCCTGGAGCATAAAGAGGCCTGCAGAGGGGGGTCAGGGGACCTGGTCCCCGGTGCTTCCGCCTTATTCTGCCTGTGGCCTTTCTGCGAGACGGGCACCAACGGGCGCAGGGGCAGGCTGTGAGGGACCACGGGAGGGACCACAGGGTCCCCGAGAAGCCCTTGGGCTGGGGTCCCAGGAGGGACTCTCTCTCCAGTGGCTGCTCCCCGATTCTGGGGGAAGGGGAATAAAAACCAGAAATCAGCCGCATGAAAATGGACATATGTGGCCTTGGGCCCTCAGACCGAAGGACAGTTCTTGGGGGCAGTGTCGCGGCCACTGAGACCGTGAGCTGCCCCAGGGACCTCCGAGGTCTTTCTGAAAAAGGATGTGGCAGGAGTTCCGATGGTGGACGGAAGCCAGAGCCGGCCTGTGAGGCCCCCCCACCGCTCCGGGGGGCAGTAGGGCAACCAACGGGGGCCATCTGCCTGCTGTGTCCCCACGGGGACGCGGGGGGGGGGACTCGGGGGCAGAGGTCGAGACGCTCGGGCCTCTGACACCCCGCTAACCTCAGTCTGCCATGGTCTCAGCTGTGGTCGAGTAAAAACCAAAGGAAACTGAAAATGACAAGAAAGGAAGAAAAAGAAAAGGAAAAAAAGAAAGAAGGAAGGAAGGGAAAGGAAAGGAAGCAAAGTAAGAGTGAGTAAATCAAGGAAAAGACAGTGTCAGCAGCCCCCAGCCTGAGGCCCGGGCTGGCATCCCTCTCCCCGCCTGTCCCCTGTCCCCAGCGGCCCCGGGGTCCCCGGGTCGGGCCTGCAGAGGCTGAACTAGGTCTACAGGTACAGACAGACAGACAGATATTGCATATATTGGGTTTGGCTTTTGTTTTCCGTTTGTTTCATACCAGATCCTCTCCACAGTCACAGCTGGAAGACACAGAACTGGGGGTGCAGGGGGCGGGGGAGGGCAGGACGGGAAATGCCGCCCAAGGCCAGTCTCCAGGGCTGGGGGGCCCCTCCAGGAATGGGGGGGCCGGTGAGTCCTTTGGCAACAAGGAAGGGGTGCCGAGGGGTTGGAGGGGAGCCTTGGGGGTGGGGTGGCGAGGTGACCCTGAGGCAGGGGGGCTGCCAGCCTGTAGGAAGGTGGGATGGGAGAGTCTGGCTGTGGGCGACTCAGAGATGGCCCCTCTGGACCCCAGGGGTGGGGCCGGGGTGGCAGAGCACCAGGGAGCACCCCCAATGCAGCAGGGGACACGGGGGGGGGGGGGAAGGGGGGGGGCAGACGGTGGGGCGTTGCTCTGAGGAACTGCTTTTTTTAGCGTGGGATTTTGCTTTTTTTTTTAATTTTTTTTTTTTTTTTTACAAATAGAAATACATCCCTCTTCAATTTTTATTTTTTATTTCATGTCATTGTTTTGTCTTTTTTTTTTTTTTCTTTTTTTAACTACACGAGCAGAGCATGCAGCTGTCTGTGCGCTGATATTGTTTAAAGGTAATACTTATTTTCGGAAGGCAAGGCACATCCTGTGGTAGAAAATTCCGTGCAAATTAGGAAACATGGAGTTTTTTTAAGGGTTTTTTTTTGTATCTTTTTTTTTTTTTTTTTAAAGAGGAGGGGTAGTGTTGGAGGGCTGGGGGGCGGGGCGGGGGGAGCCAGGTATCATTTGCCATGCAGGGTCGGCCGCGGCGAGCTGGCATCAGGAGCCACAGCAATCCCCGACTAAGCACCATGCAAAGTTAGGTGGCTGGGGGGGTGCCAGCTGCCCCTCCCCTCCCCTGCCCACCCGCACCCTAAGGTTCCCGACTGAGAAGCTTCTGGATACCCCGACTGCACGACCCACCCCCCCTCCTGCCCTCCTGGAGAGCGGCCCATGCTTTGGTCCCCAACAGCCACCCGCTGCAGGGGGCCCTGGGGACAGACGGACGGACCAACGGCTCCTCGAAGCCTCTGGATGATGGGAGGAGGGAGTTGGTGGGGAAGGGTCTTTCTCTCTGTGGTCGAGTGGGTTTGCCAAGCCCCTTGGGCTGGTTTGGGAGGGAAGTCCAGTTTCTGGGGAGGTGGGAGAGGCTGGCCAGGCCTGGGGCACCAGGGGACGGGGGAAGGGCCAGGCTGGGGGCACGAGGCAGAGGCCCTGCCCAGGGCGATGGCTTTGGCCCGGGTCGGGGGTGGGGAGGCCCGCGGTGGGGAAGGTTTTCCCCAGGGTCAGGCGTGGAGGAAGCCAGCTGGGCCTGGGATGGGATGGGAGGGGACCCAGGCACACCTAACCCCCCCCCTCAGGCCCCCCCAAGACGGCCACCCTGGGGCTGGAGGCAGGGGTGGGGCCAGGGAGCCGGGGTTGGGGGGCACCCGGTGTCCCCAGCTTAGTGTTTTTGGAGCGGCTCAACGGAAAATGTTTAGCAGATGGGGGGATCCCCTACGTGGCTACAGGGGGCCCCCCGGGCGCCGACCCTTCCCTCCCCTGGCCAGAACCCCCCAATCCCCTCTGGGCTCACATGGACTGGGTGCCTGGCCTGCTTTCTTCTTGGGGGCCCAGCGGCAATGCGCCTCCCTGGCAGAGCCCCACGTCGGCAGGGGGAAGATGAAAGTGCAAACCGTGGTCCCCCTTTGGGCTGGGGGGCCCCAGGGAGGGGGTGTCGCTCCAGGATGTAAGGCACTGGCAGAGGAGGCGAGGGGGGGCCCGCTGGCTCCCTACAACCCACCCTGGTGCCCGAGCGCGGCAGGGCTCGCGGCGCCCAGCTCTGCCCCGTGGGCCGACCACGGGGGGCAGGGGAGTCCCATCTCTCTAGCTCTGAGGGGGGCACAGCAATGAGGGTCAGCGACTGGAGGCGGCCGGGCTGTGGGAGGGGATGGAAGGGCCCCCCATCCCCCGGCTGTTTCGCATCCCAGCTGGACAAAGGGGGGCGGGCGGTGGGAATCAGGCACTTAAACCACTCGCTCTCACCTCCACCTCCGTGGTCTACGTGGTGGGGTGGCCTCCCCTCCCAGGGCTCGGGTGCATGGAGGCTCCAGACAGCTGTCCCCTCCCCAGGGGAGCTCTGGGTCTCTCCACGCGCCCCAGCCCCTTCCTCGGAAAGTGCATTTCTTACAGTGTGTGCAACGTGGGTCCCTCCCCTCGGGGGTGCGGAGCAAGGCCGGCGGGGGTGCGGGGGTGCGGGGCCTCCCAGGCCGAGGGGTGGAGCTGGGGGTCAATTGCATAGAGACTTCTCCTCCCAAACAGGGCAGTCCTGGGGCGGAAGCCGGGTCCGAGCGAGCCCAGCCCTGCCCGCGTCGGGGCAGCGGAGGCCCGAGACCCTAGGACGCTCCGGAGAAAGTTTCTGCCACGCGGCCCGACCCCGGAGACACGCAGGGTCTCCCCACGACCCTCTTCTGCCCTTGTCGCGTGTCCCTGCCCGCCCGCGCCCGGTCCCCGCCGGTCCCCCGCCGTCCCCACGCGGCAGGCGCCGACGCGACAGCCCTGCAGTGGGGACAGGGCCGGAGGCGGAGGTGGCCGGGCTGGCTGTCCTGGCCCGTGGGTGGGGCCCAGGCAGGGGCCCCGGCCGCGCTCACCTGGTCCTGGGCGGAGGCGGGCAGCGGCGCCTGACCTTCCAGAGAAGCAGCCAGAGGAGATGAATAACTTAGGGAGGCGCCTGAGCCCCGAGCGGCGGCCGGCCTGGCCCTCTGGTCCGGCTGTGGTGTCCCGAGAGTCCCAACGGCTGCCGTCCCTACCGCTTGTCTTCTTGGTTGGGTGGGTTGATTTTTATGGTATCTTTTTTTTTCCGTTTGTCTTTTTTTTTTGCTTTTTTTTTGCCTTTTTGCTTGTTTTCCTCCTGTGCGTACGGATGTGTCTGTTTTGTCTTTTCGGCCAGGCTGGGGGTCGGCGGGGTGTTCTTGCTCGCTGTAACGTTCCACTGAAACCGTGGGCCAGGGGCCGGCGGTGGGGCCCCCTGGGGTTCCCGCGACGAAGGAGCAGGGCGTGGGAAGAAATCTTTCTTATCCCAGATACCAGGACTGGGTGCCGACAAGGAGAGAGAGAGAGAGAGAGAGAGATGGGGGTCAGGCTCTGCCGCTGACCTTGCGGCCCACGCCCACCCCCGTGACCTGTGATCCCACCTCCCAAGTCCTAGGCCTGGCCTGCGTGACCCTGGGGGAGCGACTCTGCCCCAGAGCAAGGTTGCTACAGGACGCCCAGTGAAATCTGGATTCTGGAGAAGCCGCAGAGGAACCGTCTGGCATATACTGTGTAGCTTTTGGTATATACTTATGCTATGATGACTTTTTTTAATTGAAGCGTCTTTTATCTCTTGGTTACCTGGAAGGTATATCTACTGGAGGGGCCTGTGGTTTTGTTTCGCACCAGATCTCTGAGCCTCAGTGCCCTGAGCACAAAGCGTGGGAGAGGAAGTGGTTCTGCGCCCCATTTCCCTCCACAGGCTGCCCCTTGCCCCCTTATCCAGGCAATGTGATCGGGGCTGTTTCCTTTCATTAAAAAAATTTTTTTAATGTTTATTTATTTGAGAAAGACAAAGTGCAAGTGGGGGAGGGGCAGAGATAGAGGGAGACACAGAATCTGAGGCAGCTCCAGGCTCTGAGCTAACTGTCAGCACAGAGCCCGACGCAGGGCTCGAACTCACAAACCTGAGATCATGACCTGAGCCAAAGCCGGATACTTAACCGACTGAGCCACCCAGGCGCCCCCACCTTTCATATTTTTAAACACTTTCCCATTTAATGAGCCCCCCAAATTCCCCACAAAGTAGGGACCATGCCCCCACCCCGGCCCCTCTGTTTCAAAGTGAAGAAACTAGGGGCTCAGAGAAGTCAAGTAATTTGCCTAAGTCCACCAGCGTGAGAGCGCCAAAGCGGAATTCCAGTGGGGCCTGTGAGGTTCCTGTCCCTCTTCTCCCAGGCCCAGGTCGGACCTCTGGCCTGGCCGTTGAGGGGCCATGACTTCCACTCCACACGGGAGGACTGAGGCTCAGGATCGGGGACAGCTCCAGCCCTGCTCTGGGCAGAGAAGTCAGGGGACAGGCCCTTCCCCTGGAAACGCATCGACTCCACCTGTGTGGGGCCAGCCTGGGGACCCCCCCCAAGTGAGGCAGAGCAGCGCTGCCCCCACCCGTGCTGTAAATCAATTGTGCCCCTCCACGCAGGCGCCCTGTAGGCCATCCCAATGAGCCGGCGCCATGGCTCCCAGCCCCCAACCTCCAGCCAAGTTCAAGTTCATCTTGGCCATTACCTCATGTCTGGTTTCTGTTGGCAACCAGACAGACTCTGGGCGTGACCCTCCCCCACGGTGGCCTCCCCTTGGCCCTTCCTCCCTCCCAGGCCTCTGGTCCCAGTAACTTAACATCCTCCTCTTCCGCTGAGGGAGAGACTCAGGTGCGGGGGAAGGGGGGCGAGGTCCCGGCTGTGGACTCCCCTTGGCCTGGTCAGAGCCGCCAGTGTGCCTTTGGCATGTGGCTTAACCCCCCTGGTCAGGCTTATTTATCTGCTGGATGCGTGTCATGTGCTTCAGGGCAGAGAAGTTCCCGGTGTAAAATGCTGGATCAGGGGAAGGGGCCAGAGGTAACGGGGTCAACGGACCCCCAATCTGGGGACCAAAGTGACAGATGGCTCAGGACTGGGGGGATTTAGGAGGGGAGATGAAGAAGGTAGGTAATCGATCAGGGGGCGATCAGTTCAACTGATCCCAACATGGGAGGGGCATAGATGGGGGCGTGGATATTACTCAGGAAGGGATCCTGATGAGGGGGCACTGACATGGGAGGGGATATTGATGGGGGGGACACTGATGGGGAAGAGGGTATTGATGGGAGACACTGATGGGGGAAGGGATATTGACGGGGGAAGGGATATTGATGGGGAAAGGGATATTGACCTGGGGGAGGGACACTGATGGGCGAGGGGATATTTACCGGGGGGGGGGCACTGGTAGCGGGTGCCCCCATCAGTGGGTGTGGGGAGGAAGAGAAGCTGCTGTAGGCTGGGACTGGGGGTTGGGGGGCAGAGGAAAGCAAACCTCCCAGGGATAATGAAGGCAGACGCAGAAGTGCTGACTGGCTCAGAAACGAGAGGCCTCTGAGCTCTGAGCCTTTTGCAGAGGGGCTCCAAGCGGGGGGAGCCGGGCCTCATGGTTTCCTCCTCCCCCTTCCTTCCCTTCAGGGTCTGCAGGGAGCAGGGGGGGGGGGCGCCTGACCCCACCAGGGAACCGTGGTGCCCCTAGTCCAGAGACCTGCGGTCCGGCCAACGGCAGCGCGGGCGGGGTCTCTCCCAGGGAGGCCCTCCTGTTCACGCAGACTCAGGCCTCACCTCCTCCACAACCCGGGCTCCCTCGGGAGTCTCCCACCAATGTGGCGTCTCCCTTCCATGCCCCACACGCGCCCCCAAGGCCAGCCTCGGACGTTCTTACTCGTTCCCAGATCTGCTCACGCCCCTCCCTCCCTCTAAATCCTTCCATGGTTCCCTGGGGCCCTCGGGACAAAAGTCTGGCATTTCCAGCCTTTGTCAGCGCCAAGCCCCCTGCTTGGGGACCCCGGTCCCTCTCTCCTGCTGGCCAGCCTCTGCACCAGCTCCAGCCCCTCCCTGCTCAGGCTGGGCCCTGGAGGCCCCCTTCCTCCACACCAGTCTGGGCCCCACCTCTGGGTCCCGAGTGGGGCCCACTGGACAAGAGGGGGAAATGGGCAGCGCATAGAACCAAAGCCCTGCCCTGGTCTGCCTCGGTTTCCCTCCTCTTCCAGGGCGTCTGCTGGGGTGGACCCCCATGTGGGGAGGTGCGGCAGGGGGCTGGGGGCCTGGGGCAAGGTAAAGCAGTCCAGGCCTCCTCCCTGTCACTTTTATTACCTTTGGTTTCTGAAGTAATTAGGACATCCCCCGCCCCCCCGCCCACTGGGGACGTGGGGTTGGGGGAGGGAGAGAGGAAATACATGGCTTCCAGAGCACTGGGGGGCGGGAGTATCCACAGCAGGACTTAGAGAGGGTGGCCCACAGGGTACCCCAAAATTCAAAGCGGGGAGTCCTGGAGTCACCCCAGCTTTCTGGGTAAGTCTGAGCAAGTAATCCCTGTCTGGATCCTGGCCGGAAGAGCACGTAATATTTGGGGGCGTGGAAGGAACGTGGGACAGTGTCTTCGCCTTTGGTGCCCTTTCTAGATGAAACTGGTCTGGCTTTGAAGGCTCCAGGCCCTTCAAAGACTCTTTCCTTGGAGGCGTCCAAGGCCAGAAAAAGAGACGGAGGTTCAGAGTGGGTAGAGTAGAGCCAGGCGTGAGCACTCACTGCTGAGGGCCGGGCAGGGAGGGAGGATGGCTGGGTCCTCCCTGCCCAGGCGGAGGTGGGGGGGAGGCCAGCACGCACTCCGTCTCCTCCTCTGCCACCCGTGGACTCTGGTGCGGGAAAGCCTCCCCCAATCCCCGAGCCACCCCAGGTGGCCCTCGAGGTCCCACCAACGCCCACGCTCTGTGGCTCTGGCGACTGGGAGGCACCGGGGAGCCCTGGGCGGCTCTCTCTGCGCATCTGAGCACTGGAGGGCCTGCCTCCCCAACAAACGCCAGGGGGAGGGGGTCCGGGGTCCAGCCGCCCCCACCCCCCACCCCCCCACCGTCTAGCAACACACTCCCAGCCAGCACGCGGCACAGACTCGGACCCCAGCCCTGCGGGAAGCTGACAGCCACCTGTCTTAGTTCTGGACCCGTGGCTTTGCCCCCCCCACTGCTGTGCAGCCTCAGGCAACTGGCTCTTCCTCTCTGAGCCTCCTGTCCTGCCTTGACCCACCCCCCACCCTCGCCCACACACAGCCGCGGCAATGCCTGCTCTGCCTCTGCTGCTCCCCTCTCTGCCTTGTGGACTAGAGCCTGGGGTGGGGGGTGCACATGCTCTCCTGGGAGGCCCCACCCCCTGCCAGGGGCTGCCTCAGTTTCCCCACCTGCCCCTGGAGTCCTAGAGTCCACTGCTGCCCTCTGCCCTCCTTTCTCACGGTCCCTCCGGCCAGCAGCACGGAAGGGGATGTGGGCTGGGGGGGTGCAAGCTTGGGCTGGTGCTGTGTGATCCTGGGCAGACGGCCTCGCCTCTGTGGGCCTCAGTTTTCCTGTCTGTACAACGGGCCTGGGGCGGTAACAAAGCCCGACCTCGCAGGAGCTGTGCCGTGAGGGTCCCCCGCCACGAGGTGACACGCAGGGTCCAGGGCCGCACCACGACGCTGGGAGTGGGCTCGAGGCCCTGGAAGGGTGTGGGAAGCTGGCCCCCCGAGCCCAGGGTGCCGCTGGAGGGGTCAGGCCCCTCTGCCCTGCCCCTCCCCGCCCCCCACCAGCCGGCCTCGTGGCCCCTACCTGTGCCTGATAAATGCCTGCTGGATCCCTGGGTCCTAATCCCACAAAGGGACGGTTTGCAGGGGACGCGCCGGGCGTAGAGCGGGCTGCGGGGAGGAGAGAGACCGAGAGCCCGTTAGCAAAGGCGGCTGCGCGGGAGCACCCAGAGAGGGTGGCCGCTGCCCAGGGCCACACAGCCGGGCCTTTGCGCCTGGCGCCGCCGGGCCTGCCGCCCTCCCCAGCCGATCCGGGTCACCCCGAAAAGCCCACGGTCCCGGGCCCTGGGGTCACCCAGGCGGGGCATCTGCTGAGAGCGAAGGCACAAGATGAAAGATTCATGATCAGAAACCGCCTGTGAATTATTCAGGGTGCGCCGCCTTGCTCCCGTGGCCTGCAGCCCGCGCGGGGCGCCATGAATTATTGAGGGCGCTTTACTGATTAACTTTCCTCTCGGAGGCTGCTCGGGGAGGCGGGCGTTTGCAGGCACGTGCGCGCAAGCACACACGTTGACGTGTATGCTTTCATCTCGCCCGGTACAGTTTCTTGGCGAATAAATAATACACGGCTCAGGGCTGCCCGGGGTCCCAGGCGGGACGGTCCCTTGGTGGCATCAGCCAGGGTCAGGTTCGTGGGAGGCGTGAGGCTCTGGGAAGGGGGTCTGGCGGGGGGAGGGGCAGGCTGGACTTGCAGGTGAGATCTGGCCGGGGGCAGGTGGGGAAGGAACTCAGGTCTATGCCAGGGACCGGGCACAGTCCCATTTAACCCGCAGTGGCCTCGATCTAGCAAATGGGATTATGAGCCCACTGCACAGTTGAGGGAGCAGACAAGGTGGTGATACACTCCCAGTGTATTTGCCCTCGACCCTGCCGTGGCATCGACGGTGCTCCCTGATCTGCCCCGTCCACTTGCTCCCCATGGCCCTACGACGGGGCCCTCTGTGACTGTCCCATTTTGCAGCTGAGAAAACAGGCTCAGAGACGGGAGAGCATTTCTCCAAAGACACACAGGGAGTGAGCTGCAGAGATGGGATTCAACCCTAGCGCTCTGCTCCGCACGTGGTCCCCGGAGGAGGCCCCACCGTACGCGAAGCTGCCCTGGGCCCTGGAAGGCCGTGGATGCTGGCGGCGTGGGGTGCACATGTGGAGAGGGGCGAGTGGCTGGCCCCTCCTGCTCAGGTCAGGAACCTCATTTGGGGAGGAAGGGAAGGAGATGCTCAGAGACCGCGTGAGGGCCAGACTAAGGGTCTGGGGTCTCTGAGGCCATCTGCTCAGGGATGGCCTCACGGGACGGCCCAGAGTACGGTGGCCTGGAGGGTGGATGGCCTCCCCAGCCTGCACAGGGGTCCAGGGAGAGGCTGGGTGCAGGGCTGACGGGTGCACCTCGGGAGTGCATTCTGGGAGCCCCTTCCCGGCTGGCAGTGGTGCACAAGGGACCAGCAAGTTGTCACCTGGGACCATGTCTGGAGCGTGGAAAGTTCTAGAAGGCGAGGCAGTTAACTCAAGGCCTTCTGGGGTCAGGTGGGGGCTGTCCCATCTAAAGGCATGGCCCAGCCTGGGTCACCAGCAACAGGAGCTGGGCCCATTTCTGCTGCTTTTTTCCCCCAAGAGTCTAGAACTCCGGAATTTTCCAGCGAACCATCCTGATTCTGAGACAACAACAAAGTCTCCTTTTCCACAAACACGAGGCATCTGGGGGCTCCCTCTGCCCCCAGGGCCAGCAGTCTGAGGTCTTCGTTACTGCTGCCTGCTCGCTGCACAGAGCAGGGCACTTGCTAGCGGGCAGCAGGCGCGCAGGGACCCCGGACAACCCCCCCCCCCCCCGCCGGGCTCTCCTGCTGCTCTCTCAGGCTGCCTTGGGGCCATGTGGGCCTCCACCTGGGGACCCACCAAACTCACCAGCAACCAGCGGGCCGGGCCTGAGCCCTGGGCCCCAGCAGTCGGGGAGGGGAGGGAGGGGAGGGGGCCCCTCAGGGACACCCGCCCTGCCACGGGCACCGCGTCCCGAGTGCTTACAGGGCGAGGTCGGCGACGTGCTTCCTCCCTCGGAGGTGGGTTTGGTGGCAGGGGGGAGCGCCAGCCGCGGCAGCCCAGGGGGCGGGGGCGCCAGCATCTGAGCAGAAAGGCAGTGACTGGACATTTTGAGCTGAGCACTTCCATTTAACTGGGAACAGAGAGACAGGAGGTTAAGGCAGCGGCGCCCCTGCCCCGGGCGGCCGCGTGCGGGCTCTGCAGGGGGGCGGGGGGCTGAGGGGCAGCAGGGCCGTGACCGGGACGAGTTTGGTGGGTGCGGCGGCCGCCCACGGGCTCCCTCGCCTCCTCCTCCTCCTCGAGCTGCTCTCTCCCCGCCTGCCTCTTTCCAGGAGACACCACCTCGCCCTGAACGACACCGCCTCGCGGGTGGGTCTGCATGCCAGTCCCCACGTTCCAGAGCGGCCACTCGGCCACCGCCTCGCCCCCAGCGCCCAAAGGCAAAAGAGACCCAAACGCCAACAGCTTCCGTTCAAGTCTGGGGACAGCAGGCCTGGGCGGCAGCCACAGGACTGCACTAGGTTTGGGGGCAAACGACGTGCTGTCGGTCCTGACGCCCGGAGGAGCCTGGGCTCCGACACGCCCGGGCCCCAAGCTCGGCGCACAAGGTACCCCGGCCCCGCCGTCTGCAAAGTCACCTAGAACACAGGTGGCCCGGACGGCCGAGCGCCGTGCCGGGGCCCCGGGGGACGTCTCCTTGAGCCACGTGTGGGCAGGCGGCCCCCTGGGGCCGAGGGGAGGCCCGAGTCCCCCCCCCGGCAAACTCACCGGTCCAGGTTGCTGGCTGGCGGGGTCACAGGCCAGTGACACGAGATCTTTGAGTGGGTCCTGGGGGTTGAGGTGAGGTGGGTAGCGGATGGCCGTGTGCGGGAAGTAGGTGGAGGCCGTCTGGGGCAGGATGGAGGTCGTGGGGAAGTGCAGGGCCGAGGTGGGGTGAGGGCTCCGGGCGATCCCTGCAGAGACCAGGACAGGACAGTCACTGGAGGCTCTGGCCGGGCTGGGGGTGGGGTGGGGGTCTCCCTGCATCCCGACGCCTTACTCGAACAGGCAGGACCCAGAGAGCCCTGCCACCGGCCCGGCCCTGAGGTCGCCTGCATGACAATTCGAGGACCTTCCTCCACAAGCCCATGGGGATCTGTTATCACCCCTGTCTTGTCCGGGTTTGTTTTTAAACCGGCTGATGTGGTGGCTGTCGGAGGTTATGTCCCTCCCGCCACCCCACCCCCAGACACACAGCAAGCAGGTAGCAGACCCAGGGGAGGGTCTGGCCCCATGGCCCACACCCCAAACCAGGGCTCAGCTAGCTCTTTCCTCAAGGGCCCAGTGGTCAGTGCCTTTTTTTTTTTTTTTTTACAGTGGAGAGATAATTTGCATACTATAAAATTTACTCTTTTCGAGTACACAGTTCACTGGTTTTTTGCGCATCTGGTGACTGTGCGACCACTTCTACAATTTCTTGTAGGATCTTTCCACCATCCCGAAATGCAACTCTGTCCCTATCACCCACACCCCCTCCGCAGCCCCCGGCCCCCACGACCCCCTTCCCCATCCGTGAAGGAGCCTATTCTGGATGTTTCACACACGTGGACTCACACCCCATGTGGCCTCTCGTGTCTGGTTCCCATCCTGAGCGTCGTGTGTTCAGGGGCCGTCCGCGGGGCGGCGGGTGGGGGCGCCTCGCGCCTGCTCGCGGCCGGGGGATGTGCGTGTGTATTATTTGCCTGTCTTTCTCTTTCTAAACAATCCGGTGACCTTTAGTGTACTCACTTTGTAATTCTAGAACATCTCTATCACCTCCAAAAGTAGCCCGCTCACTCGCCCGTCCTCTCTCTAGCTCCTGGCCAAAGAGGAAGTCTTTTTGGCTTTTCAGGCCCTGTGGTCTCCTGCGGCTACCTGACTTTGCCGCTGAAGTCAGAGAGCTGCCACAGACAGCACGTAAATAGACGGCCATGGCTGGGCACCAATAAAACTTTATTCACAACAGGTAGTCGTGGGCCTGGTTTGCCGACTTCTGGTCCAAACCACTGCACTGTTCTGATTTTCCCTGCCTGCCTGCCCTCGTGTGCAGCTAAATCGTTCTCATCAGGACAGCGGGGCGACAGGCGACATTCAAGCCTTCACCACGATTTAGCTCATTCGGTCCTAAAGCTAGCGCTGGGAGGGGGACGTTTATGAGCCCCCCCACCCCCTGACAGACGAGCAAAGGAGAGCCAGGCGCACCGTGACCAGCACAGCTTGCGCCCTGTGGGTGCTCAGGTTGGTCTCCCTCTGTCACGTGTGAGACCTCCCGTCCACGTGGCCAGGGGCACCCCGTGTGGCCTGTGTGTCCAGCCACGCATCAGAAGTGTCTGCCTCCTTCTGTGACCACCCCACCCTGGGGGGGGTTGAGTGTGAAGTAAGGGAAGCAAGGTGACGGGCAAGCCCAGACTGCACACCCCCTTCCTGTAGGGAACGGGAAACTGAGGCCCCAGAGCCTGAGCCAGGGCCAGGCGCTCTGGACCATGACACCGGCGGGTTTTGTTGCCCAGCTGGGAGGCTACAGCAACAGGACTGGCAGTCAGATGGCCGGTGGGACTTCCCCGGCCAAAGGGAGGGCCTGAGGGGAGGGCCGCCCCGCCCCGCCCGGGCCCACTTGCTCACCGCTGTGCACCGCGATGACGGGCCGGTGGTGCTGCGTGAAGCTGGAGAGGCGGGGGGAGTCCTGGGGAGACGGGCTGTGGAAAGGTGACTTGTCCATCTCTGTTTTCTTCACCGGGGACGAGATGCCTGCGGAGGTGGAGCCGGAGGGTCACAGGCCTGCAGGCAGTCAGAGCCCCTGCCCTCCCTTCTCCCAGCACCCGTGGCTGGGAGCCCATCATGGGGGTGGGGGGGAACCGAGGCTCAAAGCAGAGAGAGGGGCTGCCCGGGGTCACATGGCCCACGGAATGAGGAGCCTGGTGCCAACAGAGGCCCCTGACGTCACAGCCTCGCCCCTGCCTTCTCTCCTTCCAGAGACAGGTAGTCCGCCCAGGCTGCCCGGTCCCCTGGAGGTACCCCTACCCCACAGGGTAGGCAGAGATGTGGGACCGTTCTAGAGCCCGGTTAGGCAGGGGTGAGCTGGGAGGACCCAGACAAGGCCCTGAGTGGCTCTGCGCCCACAGACCTCCCTCCCCGCCCCCCTCCCCTCCCCCCGGAGTTGGGACAGAACCTTCCTCGAAGGGGTAGAGCACGCCGTTAGACACACTGGCCTGCGGGGATTTCCTGTGTGGGTGGCCTCACACCGGCCCCTGGCTGCCTGGGCTGGCTCTGGCCCTCAGGGACCCGGACAGTCCCCAGCTCAGCCCCTGGCAGCCTCCTCGATGAATGAGTGAATGAGTGAATGAACTAATGAATGGTGTAACATGGGTGTGCACAGAGTCATCAGAGACCACGGCACAGGCCCCCTGCTGTCGTGACGGGGAGAGGCCATGGCGGCGCTGGGCACGTGCTGGCCCTCAGGACACAGGGAAGTCCCCTCGCACCGCTGCCCCCGTCAGCCTCCAGCAGGGAGGGCTGGGGTGAAGGAGGGCAGAGTCCCGGGCGGGCTCCGTCCGGGAGTCCAGCATCTATGTGAAGTGGGGCCTGTAGACGGACATGTTTACAATTACTTTAAAATGTATTTTGGGGGCACCTGGGGGGGCTCAGTCAGTTGAGCATCTGACTCTTGATTTCAGCTCAGGTCATGATTCCAGGGTCGGGGGATCGACCCCCAACTTGGGCTCCGTGGTGAGTGTGGAGCCTGCTTGGGATATTCTCTCTCCCTCTGCCCTTCCCCCGCTCACACGCGGGCTCTCCTCAAATCAATCAATTCCAGGGGAAAAAAATCTTAGAAACGCATCCACTAAGAGCCACGGCGGAGCCGCACACGGTGAGGGGTGTGCCTTGCCTCCCCCCCAGGACCAGTGACACGGGCGGGTCATTCCCTGCGGAGGCGCCGTCCTCGCCCCACCCCCCATGCCCGGGGCCCCAGGGTGACAGCCGCTGCTGTCCTGGGCAGTCACCCCGGTGAGAGTCACTGCCCTCCTCTGAGGCTTGCGGTCACGGGGTGTGGGGTCTCCAGCCCTGCATGCCCCCCCCCCCGCACCGCGTTCCCTCAGCCACACACACTGCTGGGTCCTGCTGGTGCCGATCAGATCTGGGAACCAGCCCCCCCGGGTCCCCCCACCCGCGGCCGGCGGCTTTTGTGTCACAAGCCCTGCTGCCCTCAATAGCCCCAAACACACATGGCGCTGGAAGCGAGTGCGGCTGGGGACCCGGGTCGGCGGGCCCGGGAGGCCTGGCGGCCAAGTCTGGCCTCTGGAGCCCGGGGCCCAGGCTGTCCCAGGGGGCAGGAGGCGCTGGCGCGGCCGAGGCTGGCGGCAGGCGCGACGGCTCCCGGGGCCGCAGAGCAGGATTTCCCGGGACGCCCGTCCCGGACGGAAACAGGCTGGCGGGGCCCTGCCCCCGCGCGTCTCCGCAGGCCCCTCTGGCGCTTCCGGAGATGGGGCTGGGGGCCTGCGGGAAGGGCGGCCTCCGTGCTCCGCGGGAGGCCCCGAGCCTGATTCCCGAGTGTGGGCATCGGTTCCGCGCTCACCACACGTGCTGTGACGCGGCCGCCTGGCTAGACGCCGCCGGATAACCTCCGGCCCCGGGCGTGCGAGCCGCTTTCTCCCAACACACACCCCTCCGCGTCCCCATCTGAGCACATCCGTGCCTGCAGGGCCCCCGGGCTGGGGCCCGCCCTCCGGCTCATCCGGGGAGCACAGACCTGACCCCGCGAACGGCCCCATCTGCGCATGCGCCCGCGGAATGCCCGCCCCCGGCGCGGAGCCGACTCTGGCTCAAGTCCGGGTCTCCGCGGCGCCCCCCCCCCCCCCCCGGCTATGCCAGGAGCACCCTCCCCTTAGCTGTCCTGTCCCCTGGGGGCAGTGCACACCGCGGCCTGCTCTCCTGTCCCGCTCACACCAGCCCCGTGCAGCGGTTACAGGAGTCACCCGTTTCACAGATGTGGAGACTGACGCCGGATGGGAGGTCGCTCCCCCGAGGCTACAGTGGCAAGGGGGGGAGGGGGCTGTAACTCCACAGGCCTCGCTCTGCACGCCTCCTGCCCTCCGAGTTCTAAAAGAGATGGGGGCACCCCTCCACGTGACAGAGAGAGGCTGGGGCCCACCGCCCCCTGCAGGAACTAAGCACTTGGGGAGCTGCGCGGACGGTGCCCTCTCTCTGGCCGGCTTGGGCGGGTAATCAGGGGAGGCCTCGGGAGGAGGTGGCCAGGAGAAGAGGCTGCTAACCTGGGCACAGACATGGCAAAGGCCCCAGGCTGGAGTGAGGCCTGGGAGGTGGGGCTGGCCGGACCCCCAGGCCTCGCCCCTCCCAGGTAAGCGAGCGTGGATGCTGGGAGAGGAGGGTGTTCGCTGAGCGCGGCCCTCGTGTCAGGGGCAGAGGAAGGAAGAGGGTGCTCTAATCAGCTTAACCCCCTTAATGAGCAGCTAATTGGGGGCTGTCTAGACAGGAAGCTGGAGGACGCCAGGAGGAGGAGACTGTGGGTGGAGGTGGGAGGGGGAGGAGGAGGGGCAAAGGAAGAGGAGGGAGGAGAAAAAGGAAGAGAAGGGGACGGGGAGGAGCAGAGGGGGAGGGAGGAGGAAGGGGGAGGGAAGACACGGGTCCGTCCTCCCCACTAGGCTGGGGGCACCTCCAGGGCGGACCCGGCAAACCGCCGGGGGTGATACTGAAGGCCGCACCGGAGGGAGCGAGTCTGCCGTCGCCTGAGGCAACCAACGGAAACTAGGAGGGACGGATCCAGCTCTGCGACTCCCGACTCCGCGTGCGGCCCGTCAGAAGGGGGTGTGAGCGCCCCCCTCGAGCTCTCCCACTGCTGCGCTCCACGCCCGGGGCAGGAAGTTCGCACCAGGCTCCAGCGACTCCCTCGAACGTTTCCTTCCTCTAAATTTCTTTTCTCTTTTCGAGCTTCCTGAATTGAAAGCTAGGTTTCTGTTCTTGTTTTTTATTTCCATCCTTTCTCTTTTTTTTTAATTTTTTAAATTTTTTTAAATGTTTTATTTATTTCTAGGAGAGATAGAGAGACAGCGTGAGCGGGGGAGGGTCAGAGAGAGAGGGAGTCACAGACTCTGAAACAGGCTCCAGGCTCCGAGCTGGCAGTCAGCACAGAGCCCGANGTCACAGACTCTGAAACAGGCTCCAGGCTCCGAGCTGGCAGTCAGCACAGAGCCCGACGCGGGGCTCGAACCCACGAACCGCGAGATCATGACCCAAGCGAAAGTCGGACGCTTAGCCGACTAAGCCACCCGGGCGCCCCCATCCTTTCTCATTTTCTAATCCATAGACTTGAGGCTGTAATTTTTCCTCTCAGGGCTGCCGTGGCTCCATCACAGAGGCTGCCTTCCCCGTCTAAACAGCATACGCTGTCTATGTGGCCAGTCTGGTCCTCAGAGTTCAGGAGAGGCGCTTCTGGGTTCCCGGTCATTAAAGGCAGGGCAGGGGTTAAAAGCCTCCCAGCCCCGCCCTTTTTCCTCAGCAGCCGAATTTGAGATGAACTTGACGAAAGTAAGACTACATTTCCCAGAAGCCCCTGCAGCAGGGTGTGGCCCCAGGAGCAACTCGGGCAGAGGCAGGGGCTCGGCTGAGTATTCTTCTTAAAGGAATAAGGTCAGGTGCGACCTTCCCTCCTGCTGGCTGGGAAGCAGACATGAAGGCCGACGCTCCAGCACTTACCCTGGGCTGCTGAGGGGGGAATGAAAACCATATTCACTGGGGGCACCTGGCTGGCTTAGCGGGTTACGCATTGGACTCTTGATTTCGGCTCGGGTCATGATTTCATGGTTCTTGAGTTCGAGCCGTGCATCGGACTCAGTGCTGACACGTGGAGCCCGCTTGGGATTCTCTCTCTCAAAATAAATAAATAAACATTTAAAAATGCTCCACATTGACGGGAGCATAAGGCGGGCGCCTAAGTCTCGCACACCACACGTGCTCAGGGCTACTGACGGCTGAACGTGTACTTTGGAGAGAAATGCCCTGTCCTTTCGGGGTTTTGTTTCTCGCAATCAAACGTGAAGCTTATTACAGGAGGCTGGGGGGCTCAGTCGGTTAAGCGTCCGACTTCGGCTCAGGTCGTGATCTCACGGTTCGTGGGTTCGAGTCCCGCGTCGGGCTCTGTGCTGACAGCTCAGAGCCTGGAGCCTGTTTCAGATTCTCTCTCTCTGACCCTCCCCTGCTCATGCTGTCTTTATCTCTCTCTCAAAAATAAATAAAATATTTTTAAACATTTTTTGAAAAACCGTGAAGCTTATTAAATCCAGGATCCTTACAGAGGCCAGCCTGACAGCAGCGGGGAGCCCACGGAGGGAGAGAGCCACAGTGACACTCTGACCCATAAATTAAAGCCTACTAGGGAGAGGCGCCCTCCCAAAGTTAGGTACCTGCCCGGAGAGCCAACACAGTGGAAGAGGGAGGACCCCGCTGGGGCCGATTCCACAACCAGAGGTGTCAGAGCCCGAGTCACAGATGCAGGGATTTTATAAAGACATGAACAACGAACTGTCCTGTGTCCTGGGCACTCGTCAGGTGCCAGATGGTGGCTTTATGCGCCTTCTCCCATTCCCGCCTTCCGGCTCCAGGAAAGAAGGAATTTTATTAACCCCATTTTGAAGGTAAGAAAACTGAGATTCAGAGAAGTTAAGTCACCTGCCCAAAGTTACACAGCCCCACACAGTGAGCCAATGGTAGGGCGCGATTCCGAACCCAGGTTTCGCTGACACAAACCTGCCCTCTTAACTGTAATGCTTGCCAGGAATCCCGTACGCGTGGTCTTCCTATAGACAGAAAGCTGGTCCTTCAGGAACAGGGAATAGGACCGAAGGGGAGGGGACATCCTAAGGTTTACTGGGTGCGTACCACGTGCCAGGCCTGTTTTGGGGACACCAAGTGTACTAACTCACCCAATCCCCACAACAACCTTAGATGGGTAGTGCAGGTATTAACCCCATTTTACAGATGAGGAAACGGAGGCTCCGGGAAGTGCGGTCACCAGAGGCTGTACTGGCCGGTGAAGCCGAGACCACGCTGGCAGCCGGCGGAAAACCCGGGGGTGAACCCTTCTGAAGGGGTAAGACCCCTGCATTTCCAGGGCCGCCCAGCTCAGGGCAAAGGCAAGTGTGTGGGCCACCCCGAGCGGCCCCGAGGCCGGCCCGCGGGAGGGCGGAAGCTCGGGTTCTCCGGGGGAGAACCGCGGTGGACATGCGGAGCCCAAGGAAGGGGGTCTTCGGGGGAGGCCGCTGGGGAGCCGGCGCGCCGCCGAGGGCAGCCTGTGGCCGTGCCGCCCCGGCAGAACAGGGCCCGTTCTGGGGAGGGCCCTGTGAAGGCAGACGAATGGGAGGCCAGCCTCTCCCGGAAAAGGACGCTCAGAGGAAAGCAACGGGGCTCCGGGAGGCCTGGGATCGCGCGGGGGCCGAGCCCGTGGAGACGTGAATCTCCTAAGATCGGGGGACCCCGCGGACGCGGCATTCTACAGCTCGGGACCCACTAGCGGGCACCCCCTGCGTGAGCGCGTATGGCGGACCCCGGGAAGAAGCGCGCTGCCGATCAGAAGCGCCACCGAGCCCAGGCCGCAGGCCGGGAACCCCACGGAGACGGGGCTGCAGCCGGCAGAGGGCAGGGGAGCCGCGGGAGGGACAGTCTCCGCCCTCCCCGGCCCGAACCGAGTGGAGAAGCTCGCGGAGCGGGAGTCCGGGCTTCCAGGGCGAGCAAGTCGCGCGACTACACTTCCCAGCAGGCTCCGCGGCCCCAGCCCCGGGCTTCCCGCGGCCTGGCGCCGGCGCAGTGCCTGCCGGAATATGTAGTCCCCGCCGCGGCAACCCCGGCCCCGAGGCCCGCTCCGCCCCCACTGCCAGCCCCACCTCCTTCCATGTCCTCCGTCCAGTTGCGGCTGCTACTCGTGGGAGAGCTGGGCGAGGTGTAGTAATCGCCGCCGGGGCTCGTGTCCACGTCTTCCTCCATCGAGCCCGATTTGTGCCGCTTGCTCCTAAAGGGCGAGGGAAGGAGAGCGCAGGCCGGTTACCACGGCGACGCGGGGGTGTGGGGCAGTTTGGGCTGACTTCCGGCCCATGGGGAGGGGGGAAGTAGGGCGCGGAAGGTGCTATCGCGAGACTTCGAGGTTCCCGCAGACCTTCAGCCGGTTCCGGGAGCACCTGTCGCAACCTGCCCGCTGCCAGGACGGGGCGCCTGGGGCCAGCGGCCGTGAGGAGCTCGGCCGGGCGCAGACGGCCGGCTGGGGGGCTGCGCACCAAAACCCTGGATAAACACCTGGCCTGTCGTAAACCTCAGAACAACCTTGTAGGACTATGATCCCATTTTACAGATGCGGAAATCCACGCAAACGGTGTGACCACCTCAAGGTTACCCAGGTATCTCCGCAGGAACCAGTGTCTCTATTCTCATGGGCTGTAGGACTCAAGGCGGTGGGGACCCTGGGTGGGGTATCAGGGCTGGGTAAGCAGCACCTGGGGCTGGGTTTTGAAGGATAAGTAGGAGTTTACCACGTGAACCCCGGAAACAGGCATTCCCGGGAGAGGTGTGAACCAGCTGGGGTCAGATGGAGGTGGCCGAGGGGTCGTTCAATGCCCAGGGGCGGGGACCGGGGCACCTACCCGCTGGAGGAAGTGCTCGGTAGCGTTCTCCTCATGCCTGTGCTGGCTGGATTCAGGTCGTATGCCAGGTGCCCCTGCAGCTCCCCCAGGGAGAAGTTGGGTCCTGTTCCAGTCACCACGGGCGCTGCGGAGGGCGAGAGAGAGCAGAGTGAGAGAGGGCGCAAGATCCGGGGCCGCAGTTAGCCCTGGAGAGGTGGGGGGAGCCATCTGGGGACTGGGGAACCCCGTCCCCTAACTGGCCTGGTTCCCAGTGTGGCTGACAGTGTCCTCGTTCTTTGGGTCAGAAGACCAAGGCCAGCAAGAGAGGCCAAGCTCACACTGTGAGGCAGAGGCATAGCCAGAGCTGGAGGCCACGCTTCCCAGCGCTCCCGGGGCCAGGCTCTGCTGAGCTGGGCAGGGAGGACCCCTGGACTGGGATTCAGATGGGGCGTCTGGGGAGTGGGTGGGTCCCCAGCAGATATATTAGGAAGGGAAGGGAGCAGGAGGCAAAGCGGGTGGGGGGGCCCTAAATATTGCCCTTCCTGGGAACCTTAGCTTGGTGACAGAGGGAGTAGGGCAGGGTGATGAGAGCCCCCATCCCAAAGCCCCCTCTCCCTCTCGGGCGCCCCTGCCTGTGAGAGCCCCTCCCGTCTCCGGACCCCGGGACGGTGGGCGGGGACACTCACTCCGGGACACCTGGATGAGCTCGGTGACACTGAACACGCCAGAGGTGACGAAGCTCTCCTGGAAGTCGGTGGCGTCTGGAACAGGGAGAAAAGGGGGCTCACGGGGTCTGTTTCCTTCCTCCACATCCCGGGCTGCCCAGACCCCAGGGGCCGGCGTGGTCACCCTGTCCACCCCTGCGGCCCTGTGGCAAGATGGAGGCAGAGGCCAGACCTGGGTTCGAATCTCAGCTCGGCTGCCACTTGGTATATGATCTTGGGCAAGTCCCTTCCTGTCCGCGAGCCTCTCTGCTCCCTAATCTCCAATCCGGGGGCCACGCACCCTGCCACGCGGGTGGCTGAGATGTGAATCACCTGGCCGGGGGGCTGGCCTGCTCTCTTCGCGTCACTACCACACGCATTCTGCACCTCCTTATCCCTCCCCCGCCAGACTGGGAGCTCTGTGCTGACGGGGATGACTGTCTCCAGGTCCCACAGTGTCCCTCGTGCCTCGCCCAGAGCCTGGCTCACGTCAGGGACTCAGAATCACAGGCTGAAGGGAAGGTCCACCTGTGGCAGTTAAAATCCCCATTGTCCCCAGAACCGGGTCTGCCTAATGTCAAAGGAAGCGGGAGCCTCCTCCCTCGTGTGGGGTGGTTGGGACCCATTTAATGGATGTGGAAACAGGTTTGGCTCGGAGAGGGCGGGAGCCCTGGCTGACCTTGGACAGCTGGGAGCCGGCCTGTCGCACCCCCCCACCCCCAACCCCGGAGGACTTCACGGGCAGAACGCGTTTACTGAACAAGCATTTACGAGCGCCTCCAGTGTCCTGTCCTGAGCTGGGCACTGGGGACACTGTGGGAACCAGACGGACACAGCGGCTGCCTTCCGGGGACCCCCAGTCCAGCGCGGCCAGCGGACACCACGTAACGTCAGGAAGTAAAAAAAAAAAAACCTTGTACATGAATGTGCCTGGTGGCGCGATTCACAGCCGCCCGAGCTGGAAACGGCCCATTGGCAGATGAACGGAGGACCCAACGTGGTCCGTCCTCGCGCGCGCACGGCCCTCGGCTGCGTCCACCGCGCACGCGCACGTCCACACATGACCGTGTCCGCGCGCGCGCGCGCCCCTCGGCCGCGAGCACGAGCGAGGCGCCCCCACCCGCCGCCCGCGGACGGACCCGAACGCACGACGCTCAGGGAGGGAACCAGACACGGGAGGCCACGCGGGTGTGAGTCCACGTGCGTGACGCGTCCAGAACAGGCTCCTCCACGGGACGGAAAAGGGGTTCCTGGGGGCCAAGGACTGGGGAGGGGAAGTGGGGTGACTGCTGATGGGGACGGGGCTGCTTCTCAGGACTCCAGAAGGGTTGTGGACAGACAGAGGCGACGGCTGGAGAACAGTGTGAATACACTTAGTGCCACTCACTGTATATTTTATGTCATGTGACCTTAACCACAATAAAAACATTTTATAAGATCATTAAGTGAAGGAGCGCCTGGGTAGCTCCGTCAGTTGAGCTCTGACCAGCTCAGTCATGATCTCGCAGTTCGTGGGTTCGAGCCCCGCATCAGGCTCTGTGCTGACAGCTCGGAGCCTGGAGCTGCTTCAGATTCTGTCTCTCTCTCTGCCCCTCCCCTGCTCACACACTGTCTCTCTCTCAAGGATGAATAAAGATTAAGAAATAAAAATAAAAAGATCATTAAGTCAAAGGCGCCACGCAGCAGGCGTGGTGGGCAGGAGGGTTAGGGAGGCTGCCTGAAAGAGAACCTACTTTACACAAAGACCCTCAGAAGGCCTTGCAGTGGGTGACATTTTACCAAGACCTCCAGGCAGGGGTGGATACGAGGAAGACACGCATAAAAACTGGGGAAGTGGCAAGAACAGCGCCTGGTGCAGGGTGACCGCCATGCAGGCGAGTGTTGGCTGCCGTGACGAGGATGAGCTTAAACAGGATATTTCGCCGCCTCCCGGGGGGTCACGATATTCCCAGCAGGTGGCCCATGCAAAGGCCCTGGGGTGGGAGGCAACAGGAGGGAAAGGAGCCAGGGTCAGTGGGCCGAATGGAGCTGGGACCCGCTGGTGGGCGCCTCTAGGCTGTGGGGGTGGTGAGAGCAGTTCTTCTCCAGGCCTCCAGGGGGCAGCACGGGCCCCAGGGAGCTGACCTTGGTGCCCAGTTCCCCAGCTGTGAGAGACCCAAGTCTCGCCAGTGCAGAAACTCCAGTCTCCCTGGTCACCAGCTTTGTGCACCCCGTTTATTGAGCAATTACTACATGCCCAGCCCCATGCTGGGGGGCTCAGGCCCACAACAGCCCTGGGAGGAGAGGGCGATGCCCGCCCCCCAGCGTCCAGGGAAGTGGCCACGGCCGTTTCCTGCCACCAAGCCGGCCAGCTGGTGTCAGCACGCCCCTCCGCCTTCCCCCACCGGGGTTTCCTGTTTGTGCAGCGCTCGCCCAGCTCCATCTCCAGGGGACTCCCTGGCGGGTGGGAGGAAGTGCCTTCCTCCGCCAGACGCTGGAGCTCCCCATGGGACCAGGCCAAGCGCCGCTGCCCCCGCCTGCCTTGAACATCTGGCTTGGAGGCAGGCGCCTGGAGACCACAGGAGGCCAAGGAGGACTCAGGGTCACAGACGGCCAGTGGTGAGCAGCACGGGGGCCTGTGAAGCTTCTGGAACCATCCCGCCTCCCTGTGCTGGTCCATCCAACGGGGAGGTCCTCACCCACTTGCTTTTTCTTCCAGTCGGCCTTCCTTCCTTCCTGCCTTCCTGTTCTCTCTCCTCAGCCGCTGGCGTACCATCTCTCTAGTTTCTCTTTTTCTCTCTGCTTCATCCCTCCCTCTCTCCTTTTTTCCTCTCTACAAATATTTATTGAGCACCCATTGTCTACCAGGTCCTATTCAAGGCACTAAGGACACAATAGTGATCAGGACAGACAAAAGCCTCTGCCCTCAAGCAGGTGATGTTGCATTAGGAGAAATAACCAAACACGTGTGTGCAGTCACTAAGCAACTAATACATATGCAATCACTAACTTCCTCAGAAGGAAATAAAACAGAAAGTGGTCACTGAGAGTCGTTAAGGCTGTTTGAGGTCAGAAAATCTCTCTGAGAGGGGGAGGATGGGAGCTAAGACCTGGATGATCTGGAGACAGAGAGCAATTAGCTGCCCAGATAGAAGGCAAAGCACATGCAAAGGCCCCGAGGCAGGGACTGGGCCTGGACTGTCAGAAGAACAACTAGGAGGCCTGTGTGGCCGGAGCAGAGAGACCAAGGGAGAGAGAGAGAGGAGGGGAGGGTTGGCAGGGCACAGGGACAGGTCCTGCAGGGCCTTGGGGGTCGGGAGGACTTTGACCCCAAGGGAGGTGGGGACCCTAGAGGGCTGTGAGCAGAGGGAGGCAGGACCTGGCTCAGAGCTCACAGGGGCTCTCTGGTCACTTTAGGGAGGAGAGACTCGGTGGTGAGGACAGAAGCCAGGGGACCAGCGTGGAGGTGACCGCTCTGGTCCAGGAGGGCAGACCAGGGCAGGGGCAGGGTCCCCGCAGCTTCTGAATCCTTTCTGTCCCCCAGGGCCCCGCTCCCGGCCCTGCCTCAGGCCAGCTCTCGCACTGCCCACCCACCAACACGGAAGTGACTTGCCCTGCTCATCCGCTGAATGTCCCACGGGACCGCAGGGCCCTCTGGGGCCTCCCCTGTTGGGGGAGCCCCTCAGGGCCCAGACGCTGGGAACCCGGAGTCCTGGGTTCCAACCCCAGCTCCCTGGTTGCCCCTGGGAAGGCCCCTTCACCACTCTGTGCCTCGGTTTTCTCATCTACAAAATGGAACACCAGCGGCACCTGCCCACAGCATGGCCGTGAGGGACGAATCCGTGGTGGCCATGAGCTGCCCGCACAGGGTGGCCCAGAACGCGGTCCTGGAGTAAAGGTGGCGACGGGGCCGCGCGCGCGGGCCTCGCCGTCCCCAGACTCACCCAGCGCGATGGGCTTGCTGTCCTCTTGCTCGGAGCCCATCCCTGCCCGGGGACTAGCGCTCTGCTCCGCGTCTGCAAAGAGAAGGGGGAGGAGGAGGTGGTGACACCGCAGGGGACCCGCCCGGAGGGGAGGAGGCGGCCGCGCGGGGGAGGGGCGCGCGCCGCAGGGGTCCCGAGCCTGCCCAGGCCCCGGGGGGGCTTCCGCGTGGCCCCCGGAGGGTCAGGGACGGCCGGCAGGGCACTGGGGGCCAGAGCCCGCGCGCAGGACCCGGCTGTGGCGCAGGCGGGAGCCCGTCCCCCTCTCTGAGCCTGCGTCCTCATCTGTGACAGGAGGGCAGCTCATTTACTAACTCGTTAATCCCGCCTTAACCTGGAGGCAGCCTCTCATTACGCCCATCGTACAGATGGGGAAACTGAGCACCAGCAAGAGGAGTCCTTGACCCTCAGGCCCCTCCCCTCGGCCTCTGCCCTTGAAGTCCTGGGGGCCCAGCTCTTGGTCTTGGGCTGTCACTCAGGGCCCCCAGGAGAGGGCAGAGGGGCGTCCCCCTGCAGCCACTACGCGGCTACCCACCCGCCTGGCGCCCGCCTCTCCATCTTATCTAAAAATAATCAGGCTCCTTGGCAGACGGGCGAAACCGACAGACGCTGAGCTCAGCACTATCAGCTCTGGCAGCCGGGATGGAGGGCGAGTCGCGCCAGCCCCTCTGCAGCCCCCACAACATCCCTGCAGGGCGAGGGGAGGGGGCGGGGGCGGCGGACACAAGGGCAAGCCCCGCCTGACGGAACCCTGCCGACCCATCTGCCTCCCCTCGGGGCAAAGACCAAGGTGGTGGGAGCCACCAAATGCCACAGAAAGAGAATCAGCCCCTTCCACCTGCCACACCCCCAAAGGCAGACATCATCCCTGTGCTGTGTGACCTCAGGCCGGTTGCTTAACTGTTCTGAGCCTCACTTCTCTCTTTCACACAGTTGGAGGCATCACCAAGAGGAGGTAATGAGATTATATGCAGGAAGCACTTAGGGCACATGGAAATCGAGCGTGAGCCCGGAATCAGCTCAGCGCTGACAGCGTGGACGCTGCTTGGGATTATGTTTCCCTCTCTCTCCACCTCCCCCACTCTTCTCTCTCTCTCAAAATAAGTGAACTTAAAAAAGTATTTTAGGGGCGCCCGGGTGGCTTAGTCGGTTAAGCATCTGACTTTCGCTCAGGTCATGATCTCGCGGTTCGTGGGTTCGAGCCCCGCGTCGGGCTCTGTGCTGACAGCTCAGAGCCTGGAGCCTGTTTCAGAGTCTGTGACTCTCTCTCTCTCTCTCTCTCTGACCCTCCCCTGCTTACGCTGTCTCTCTCTCTCTCTCTGCTAGAAAAAAAAAACATTAAAAAAAAGAAAAAAAAAGTATTTTAAATCCCTAAGATGACCGTAAATGTGGGCTTCACTCTTCCCATTTTAGAGGTTCCCTTCAATCCTTAAGAGAGCCACACGCCCGGCACTGAGAATGTACCCATTTTACAGACAAGGGAGCCTGAGGTTGGAACAGTGAGAAAGTGCCCCTCCGCCGCGGGGGTTATTTTCTGCGCGCACGGCCTCCAGACATCAGGCCCCCGGCTCTGCGTGGACCGTCTGGCTCCCGGGATCGGACGCCTTGCGTTCCCAGCCCAGGTCCGGGAGCCCCTGAGGCGACGCGCCCTCCGCTCCCTGGGGCCACGGCCACGGAGCCCTGGCCGTGCCCTTTGTGGCTCTGCACGCACTGCGCGCTGAGCGCCGCCTGAATGCCGAGATCGAGGACGCCCTGAACATCACCGGCGCGAGAACCGTGCCTCAGTTTCCCGGCCCACGACAGGCGCGGCCGGGGGCAGCCCCAGCCGTGACCCACTGGGCAGGGCTGGGCGGCAGCGAGGCGAGTGTGCCCGGCTCCCTTGGCTCCCTTGGCGCTGGCCACTGCTGGGCACTTCTACTGGGCACGGCGGCCGCTGCGCTGGGAAGGGCCCGGGACCCTCGTCCGGAACCGGCGCCCACGCGGACTCAGCAGGCGCCGCCCCGTCCCGCGCGGGGCTGTGGGCCTCACTCTGCTCATCCGCGAAGTGGGCACAGCCGCACGGCTCTGCCCCGGACAGAACGGCGGCGGGCACCCAGTCAGCGCCTCGCCAGCCCGAGGGAGGCCTCACTGCGTCCGTGCGCTCCGTGACCTCGGCCGCCAAACCACCTCCCCGGCCGCGCCGTTTCCTGGGAGCAAAACGGTGGTAAAACCGCCTCCCGTCCCACCCACTCCGACCCCCCTCCCCCTCACCCCGACTCCCCCTCCCCTTCCACCCCACCCGGACCCCCCCTTCCCCTCCCGCCCCACCCCGNGTGTTGGTGATCTCTTCTGAGATTAAATGATTATAAGCCCTTAGGTCTGCCTAATGCGTCACAGTTTGCCAAGCATGTTACATCACTTCATGCGTTCAGTTAGCACATCCCTGTGAGGAAGGCAGCTACTATCCGCATCCCCCCCCCCCCCCCCCCCCCCCCCCCCCCCCCCCCCACCCCCAGACCCCTCCCCTCCCACCCGGACCCCGCCGAGTTCCTTGTCGAATCCCGCAGGTGCGCGCTTTCAGCCCGATGCCCCTCGAGGGCAAGTGCCGGCCGAGGGTCTGCTCTTGGGGACCCCGTGGTCCTCACCCCTGAGTACCATGTAGATTCCTTCACTGGAGTCAAGGGGTTTTCTCTTCTCTATGTTCCTGGGAGCCGTTTTTTTGTTTTTTTTTTAATTAAGTGTAGTTTCTAAAAAATGATGCTGTAATTATACGCTATCTCATTTAATTTAGTTTTTAGATTGTGGTTAAATATACATAGTGTACAATTTACCATTTGACTGTTTCTAGGGGCACAGCTCAGCGGCGTCAAGCGCACTCACGCTGTCGTGCAGCCGTCCCCACCCTCCGTCTCCGGAACCTTCCATCTCCCCAGACTGAGACTCTGTCCCGTGAAGCATGGACTCTCCACCCCTGCCCCACCCCCGGCTCCCACTGTCTACTCTCTGTCCCTGTGGACGGGTCGCCTCTTGGGACCTCCTGTGATGGGGTCACGCAGGACGTGTCCTCTGTGTCTGGCTTCTGTCACTCACTGCGCACAGTGACCTCCGGGTCCGTCCACGTGGTGGCAGGTGGCGGGACATCCTGACTTTTAATTATGTGATCTTATTTCTAAGTATCTCTAACCCTCAAAGTCACATCCGTCTGCCGACCACCTTGCTGAAAACTGCCACCTTCTAGAGCCGCCCATCACGGGAGCCACTAGCCAGGTGCGACTTTACTTTTAAATTTGATAAGTTGAAATGAGGCTAGAATTTCAGGACCTCACCAGCACTGGTCGCCTTTCAATACTCAAGAGCCCACAAGACTGGCGGTGACCGAATCGGCCAGTGCGGAGCATTGCCGCCATCACAGAAAGCCAGGGGGCTGAGCTGCCGTGGATGTTTCCGTGAAAAATCAGGAGAAAAGGGTCATAGACAGCCCCTCCCCCTCCGTCCGCTTAGGCAGCCACAGCCCTAAAATGCAACGTCCTCAGGTCTGAATAGATGTACCCAGAATGGATCATGTCTAAAGGGCAGGCGAAACATTAAAAATATTTTTTTTGAAAAGGGGCGCCTGGGTGGCTCGGTCGGTGAAGTGTCTGACTCCGGCTCAGGTCATGATCTTGCGGTTGTGAGTTCGAGCCCCGCACCAGGCTCTGTGCTGACAGCTCGGGGCCTGAAGCCTGCTCCGGATTCTGCGTCTCCCACTCCTTGCCCCTCCCCCGTTCACGCTCCGTCTCTCTCGCTCTCTCAAAAATAAATAAACGTCAAAAAAAAAAAAAAAAGGCCAGCTGACGTCCGGCTCTCCCGAGAGAACAGCTTTCATCAGCCGAGTTGTACTGTGCGAAGGACAGTCACGGTGCAATCTACCCAATTGAGGAGTTTGGTAAACTGAGGCTCAGCTCAGAGAGTCTCTTTCCCAAAGCTGATGTCAAGTCAAAGAAGTTATGTGCCCATCACAGAGCCGCTTAACAGGGTGATCCTGCCCCTCAGGGCGACGTCTGGGCACCTCTGTGGTTGTCAGGACTCAGGCTGTCCTGGCACCGAGGGGACAGGACGCTGCCCAGCCCCCACCCCGCCCAGGATGCCCCCCACAGAACGCCCGCCCCAGTGCCCGCCGTGCCCAGTGGGGAGGCCCTGGTCCGGATCCACCATCCCCAGAGGGGGTGAAAACCAGCTCTTTGGGGGAGGAAGGAGGTAAAGAATTTTGCTCTTTTTTTTTTTAATTAAAGAAAAATTTTTAATGTGTATTTATTTTTGAAGCTGGAGAGACAGAGCGCAAGCAGGGGAGGAGCAGAGAGAGAGGGAGACACAGAATCTGAAGCAGCTCCAGGCCCTGAGCTGTCAGCACAGAGCCCGACGCGGGGCTCGACCCCATGAACTGTGAGATCATGACCTGAGCCGAAGTCGGACGCTCAACCGACTGAGCCACCCGGGCGCCCCCAGAATTTTGCTCTCTTAGGCACAAAGCATGGACTTACGGGCACACACAGCACAAACGGGCATGTAGTTCACCTGTGATATTAAAACTTCATGCGCTGAGATGATTTCAGCAAAAAATGTGTAAGAAGGACCTTTAGGGGAGAAAGTAACGGGAAAAGGGGTGCGTACTGCACGCCAGCACATGTTGTCGAAGGAGAAGAGAGAACATGTGACAGAACCCGGGAGACCTGCCTGGGCCTTTACTGAAAGTCTGCGGACTTCCGGCTGTGTGTCCTTGGGCAGGTGCTCTGACATCTCTGAGCTTCCTTTAACTCACCCATAAACTGGACGTGAACCACGCTACTATTAACTCCTCAACTTTCTAAAGCAACTGGCTGCTGGGCACCTCCTGGGTGCCGGAAGCCCGGGAGACACAGCGGTGACACAGACGGACGGAAACCCCGGCCCCCGTGGCCCCCGTGGCCCGACCGGGGAGCGACAGGCCACGAACAAGGAGGCAAATTCACCAAGGGGACACACTCAGGGTGTCAAGTGGGAGGGAGGCCACACAACCGGGAGATGTGAGTGGCCACCCC